AATGGCTCATTTTTAGGTCTTGCCTTGTATCTGGCTATACATAGATATATATTGCAATACAAAACGATATATCCCAATACTTAACTATGAGACCATTATTTTGAATAAGCTCTCACAAGGTGCAAAAGTAAGTGCAGGACAAGACTCGTGCAATGTTTAAGCTATTTATTTATTTGAATCAATACAAGAATCAGGCTTCTTGAAAGCAGGATTTTACTGTATATCGCGATATATCACCAAAACAATATTATTTTGGGATATATTGCATGTAACATTCAGCCACTCGATGAAACTTCACCCAAACAGACATGTTTGACCTCATTTCAAAGCTCAAAATCTGAAGGAGTTTAATACAAGTGAAACTTGTATTAAACTCCTGGTATTATAAATGTAAAACCAACATTGTGACACAGGTTCACAACGACTTCCCTTTATTTAAATGTTTTTACTGCATGAAGAGTTCAATGTGAGTCATTGTCTTTTATCTCCATGCTGCTTCAGAGTTGAGTCTTTGATCACACATGAAAGAGTATTTTCGTTAAATATATGACATGCATGATCATTTGTAGAGAAACAATATTGGCCAATAAATCGGTAATCGAATCCCCAAAAAGTAGTAGTAGTATTGGAACTTGGCATAGCAGCAGCAGCAGCAGCAGCAGCAGCAGCAGCAGCAGCAGCGGTTGCAGTAGTTGTTAATTCAGCCCGAACCGTCTACATTTTTAAATCAGATTCTAACTCAGTCCACACTCAGTCAAAGTCGTGTTATGACGAGGCGAACAGGTCAATCTCCCTTTAATTAAACTCTTAATGAGCCCAGCAGCCTGAGCCTCCTGCCTTTTGTTTGTTTGCTCTGAACACTTAGAGGTCACTGGGTACTGACCACGCAGGCTGAACACTCACCAAAAACACCATTTCCTCTGTCAATAATTCAAACATCAGCAAGTTAATCACTACCTAAAGGCGATTCCAAACTGGCCTCTCGATTGTTTTAATGCAGTGAACTGTAACTGCAGAGACTTGGAAACCACACAACAATAGCAATTTAAAGTGAAATGACGCTATGCAGAGCAAGCCAGGAAAAAAATGGGAAGATTAAAGCTGAAAGTAGAAACAATGTATAAATCAGGTCTCTCTCTCTCTCTCTCTCTCTCTCTCTCTCTCTCTCTCTCTCTCTGATCTTTGTCCTCTCTCTCTCTGGTCTCTCTCTCCCTCTGGACTCTCTCTGATCCCTCTCTTTGTTCTCTCTCTGGTTTCTTTTAGGTCTCTATTTGGTCTTTCTCTGGTCTTTCTCTGGTCTCTCTCTAGTCTCTCTACAGAAAGGTGACTTCAAACTGGCCTCACAATTGTTTTAAGGCAGTGGACTGTATCTGGATCAGAGACTTGGAATCCACACAACAATGGCTGTACTTGCTAAATGGCAATATAGGGAGGAAGTTTGAAGACAGAAAGTGGGAAGATCAAAGTTGAAAGTATAACAATTGTATAAATCAAATGAAATTGAGTTTATGGGTGGTTCTTGCGTGTTAGAGTAATCTTGTATCGTCCCAGTTGAAGACTTGAGTGGTCAGTTAATGCCTGTTTTCACCTACCCCCTATTCTCCACCCAATCCGCTGCTTTGTCACTGGTCACTCTCTCTATGGTCTCTCACGCTCTGAGTCCCCTCTCTCTCTCTCTCTCTAGTCTGTGGTCTCACTCTAGTCTCCTTGATCTCTCTCTGGTCTCTCTGTGGTCCCTCTGGTATCTCTCTGGTCTCTTTCTGGTTAGTTCCCTTGGCCCTGGTTCTATCCAGGCTGAGGAGATGCTAAAGTGTTCTAACTGACGGGGATTGGCCAGAGTGCTTCTTACCAATGAAATTCTCCGGACACTAGTTTGTTGTTGGTAGGTTGCAAGAATACGGTAACAGATTCTAAAGCGTATTGTAAAGACAACCAGGTAGAGTCTGTGCCGTGACCTGTGGATTTGGTCTAGTGAGTAACTCTATCTCTGTGACTAACAACTTGAGCAGAGCAACATGCACACAGTGACTTCGACTTCACTACTTTCTCTTGTTTTAGAAAATACATCTGCCCTGTGCTTATAATAGGCAGGAGCTACCACAGCTCTGTAGGAAAGAAGTATTTTTGAGAGAAATGTTGAAAAAGAAAAGATTATTATTTGATAGTGATTAGACTCACAAAGAAGCCAGAGATCAGAGAGAGACCAGCGAGAGAGCGACCAGAGAAAGAACTGAGAGAGACCAGCGAGAGAGCGACCAGAGAGAGATCTAAGAGAGACCAGAGAAAGACCTGAGAGAGACCAGAGAGAGACCAGATAGAGACCTGAGAGAGACCTGAGAGAGACCTGAGAGAGACCTGAGAGAGACCAGAGAGAGACCAGAGAGAGACCTGAGAGAGACCAGAGAGAGACCAGAGAGAGACCTGAGAGAGAGGCCAAAGAGAGACCAGAGAGAGACCTGAGAGAGACCTGAGAAAGACCTGAGAGAGACCAGAGAGAGACCAGAGAGAGACCTGAGAGAGACCTGAGAGAGACCAGAGAGAGACCAGAGAGAGACCTGAGAGAGAGGCCAAAGAGAGACCAGAGAGAGACCTGAGAGAGACCAGAGAGAGAGACCAGAGAGAGACCTGAGAGGGACCAGAGAGAGAGGCCAGAGAGAGACCAGAGAGAGACCTGAGAGAGACCAGAGAGAGAGATCTGAGAGAGACCAGAGAAAGACCTGAGAGAGAGAGACCTGAGAGAGACCAGAGAGAGAGGCCAGAGAGAGACCAGAGAGAGACCTGAGAGAGACCAGAGAGAGAGACCAGAGAGAGACCAGAGAGAGACCAGAGAGAGACCAGAGAGAGACCTGAGAGAGACCAGAGAGAGAGACCAGAGAGAGGCCAGAGAGAGACCAGAGAGAGACCTGAGAGAGACCAGAGAGAGAGACCAGAAAGAGACCTGAGAGAGACCAGAGAGAGAGACCAGAGAGAGACCAGAGAGAGACCTGAGAGAGACCAGAGAGAGAGACCAAAGAGAGACCAGAGAGATACAAGAAAGCGAATACAAAATAATCAACTGTGTTACCTTATTGTTATATTGATTCGGTAATATCACTAACTTCTGGCACAAAACACCTCATCTTCTGGCTATTGTAACCTACATTTTCCCATATTCACCCACAAAACCTGTCATTAAAGGTGATTTTTTTTTCTGATTTTGGTCCGACTGTAGTTCGTGCTTGGGCCTTTTCTCCCACACTCCAGTATTCCCTGCAGGACCACATTACGAGCGGTCCCCGCTGAAAGATGAGCTCGAGCGGGCTTAAGACCAGAGCTAATGCCCTCTTCTCCACACCTGCCCACGCACCCCGACAATAAACTACCCCCCTTTTCTCCGCAGGCAAACAGCGGCGTCATGTTACACAATAGACTCACGCGCCAATGTGCCCCTGTCAAAAGCCTTTCACTGTACTTCAGCAGAAACAGTCAAAGACTGAAGCTAAAGAAGAAATGTTATTGTCTTATTTTTTACAGCTACAAAATAAAATGATGTGAAATATTGTCTTTAGATAAAAAAATATGGTGAGAAAAGTGAAGATCGGTAACTCCTTATGCAACAACCAGGGAGAAAGATTGGTTATGTATTTTTTTTTCCAAATTTGAAAATGACGGAGACTGAGAGAGGGGCAAGAGGAGTAAAGGACGTAGTTTGATATGAGATATTGACAAAACTACTGTCTAACTACTGCCCACTGACTACTGACTACTAACTACAAACTACTAACTACAAACTACTGTCTGCTCTCTCTCTCTCTCTCTTGCTCTCTGTTCCACCCTTGCACCCTTCCACCCCCTTGCACCCTCAATTGCACAGTGCCCTCTCTTTGGGTTCTCTCTCTCTGGTCCCTCTCTGTTCTCTCTGGTCTCTCTCTGGTCCCTCTCTGGTCTTTCTGGTCCCTCGCTGGTCTCTCTGGTCCCTCTCTGTTCTCTCTGGTCCCTCTCTGTTCTCACTGGTCTCTCTCTGTTCTCTCTGGTCCCTCTCTGTTCTCACTGGTCTCTCTCTGTTCTCTCTGGTCCCTCTCTGGTCTCTGAAAACACTGGTATAGAAGACGCACTTATCATCTGTATTACATGAACCAGGACTGAACATGACAGGTGTGGTCTGAAAGTGGCCTCGTTTGTCATGGAGCCAGAGGAAGCGCTTGGACGGAGGGTGAAAATGTGTAAAAATGACTTTTGTAACGCACTGTTAGCAGCTGTCGGCCATGTTTTTTTATTTGACACGCTCTGAACAAGGCGTGCAGTGTGCTTTCTGTATTCAAAACATTATCAAAGAGACTCCTCCTTTACTTTTGATTTATGGCTGATCAACGACTTCCTCAAGACCACAGACGAAATGTTTTAAGTGTGTTCTTTAGGAATAATCAATGCTGTTTTCTTCAGTTTTATATTCCATTTGAAGCTGAGGTACCCTAACTTTTATGATTTGTGATCTAAGGTCTCTCTGCTCTCTCTAGTCTGGTTCTCTCTCTGGTCCCTCTCTCGTCTCTTTCTGGTCTCTCTCTGAACACTCAGGTCTCTCTCTGAACACTCTGGTCTCTTTCTCTTCTCTCTCTGGTCTAGCTCTCTGGTTTCTATTTCTGGTCTCTCGCTGTTCTCTCTGGTCTCTTTCTGATCTCTCTCGTGTTTCTGGTCTCTCTCGGGTCTGCCTTATTTCTCTGGCCTCCCTCAAGACACTCTCTTGTCTATTTCTGTGCTCTCTCTCTGGTCTCCCTCTGGTCTCTCTCTGCTTTCTCTCTCTGCTCTCTGGTCTATCTACTCTGCTTTCTTTGCTCTCTCTCTCTCTCTCTCTCTAGTCTCTCTCTGGTCTCCCTCTGGTTTCTCTGGGCGCTCTCTGGTCTTTCTCTGTTCTTTCTTTGGTCTTTCTCTGGTCTTTCTCTGGTCTTTCTCTGCTCTCTTTCTCGGGTATCTCTGCTCTGTGTCAGTTCTGTGTTTTTGACTCCCTCTTCTCTCTCCCTCAGACCTCTGCAGATGAGTGTGACCCTCACGAGGGAATGCACCAGGGCCGAGAAAGCACGTACCGTCTGCAGATCACCCAGTTCATGACGCGCCTCGAGTTCTGGCACCAGGAGCTGTCGCAGACGCTCGTCACCTCCATCGCCGTGGCAACCGTGAGGGGCAGGACTGTGGCCTACCTGGGCACCGGCCATGGACGCCATCTTCAGGTGAGAGAAAACATGACACCAACACCAAAATAGATGGATTAATTTGAAGTGAAGCAGGAGATGACAAGAACAAGAAACATTCCAATACAGTGGTAGAATTGTGACCGGGCATCTCAACCGCCTTGCAAGCCAGTCTCTTTGCCGAGGCATGTCCAGTGTGAACATTCCGACCATATTATAGCTGTAATTTAGATGCAAAAGAGCAAAATGTTGTATAGCATGGACTCTATATAGATGGACAATGCTAACCCTCAAGCTTAATGAGCCCAATATGGAAATGCTCAGGGTTGTTTTCCTCCAACTCGCTCTTGCTTCTATTGACTTACATTTATAGGAGATCGCTTTTCAATGTGAGTCAATTGCATTGTCCATCTGTATACAGGTTATGGTTATGTTTTGTTCAGAGCTGTTTTTAAGGTCTCTCTGCTGCTGCAGTCATGGTTGTGTTTGTTCAGATGTTTGAGCTCTGGGTCACAGGGTCGGACTCTCGCTGACACCGGATCAGCTCAAATCATTAACCCAACGCACCCTCGACATTAAAGTGGGAAAGGTTGGCTTGTTGTTTGGGCTTGTGTTGGCTTTTCCCCATGGGGAAGACAAGAACATGTCAAAATAAAAGGGTCAAACCAAACTGCAAACTTTCAAAATATGTTGTTTGAAGTCATAGCGAGAGACCAGAAAGAACAGAGACAACAAGGAAAGAACCAGAGAGCGACCTGAGAAACCGGAGAGAGAGAACAGAGAGACCAGAGAGAGACTGACGAGAGACCAGAGAGACACGCATTATAGTGGACTACGGCAAGTTTCTCATCCACATGGAGCTATATAGACATTTTCAAATGCACATTTTCACAAGGCCAACTTAATGAAGGAGAGAGCAGTGCCTGCAACAGCCCACACGCTGACAATGAGAGCTTAATTCACCCAAACACGGCTCCACAGCTCGTTTTGCTGTCATCTTGTGACCTTGTTAGCCTGGCCTTAGCCATCCGTACACTCTGTTTAATCATAATTTCACTGCATGTAACGTCTGGGTCTGGTCCCTATGTTAGCGATTACAATCGGTTGAATTTTGACCGATCATTCAGAGAGCGCGGAAGGCAGGTGTTGTAGTTAGTTGTGAGTGATGTCAAGAGTTTGCGTCGAACAGGCAGGTTGTAGTTTCGTAATGGCAAAAAATGCGACAGAAAAAGTCTGTTCTATCAAGAAATTGAAGCCGGAGCAAGGGTAATGTTTAGCAAATGTAATTGCTGGAAAAAATTGTGGCACTACTCCCCACGGGCTCCGTTAGCGGCAAAGGAGATGGCTAGGCTAAATGCTAACAACTCACTCGGGTGCACTACATAAGTCACGGTAAACTCAGATCCAATCGTTTCAATCTGCAAAAGGAGTTTTATTTATTTATTTGTTTCAATTGTAGACAAAAACAATACTACACATATTACAATTAAATTTCAAATAATTGTCGTCTTGTCTCACAAATGAAAAGGAGCAGAAAGAAGAAAAAAAAAATCTTATGTGGCCTGCCCCTTTCTTCATACATGTACAAATTAAATTAAAAAAAATTAAAACAAGAAAAAAATAAGATGGCCTTTAGCACTTCTTCAAACTGTTTTTATTTTATGTGTTTTTGTTTTCATAATTCTTTGTTTTTTATTGTTTTTTTCTAATCATTCGTTTCGTACGATTTCACTGTTGTTGCTTTGATTTTTTTCTTAAACATGTGGATGTTTGCAGATTTTTTTATTTCATAGTCAAGTTGATTCCATAGTTTTACTCCGACCACTGATATTCCCATGTGTTTCTGGGTGGTTCTGGAAAAAGGGACAGAGAAGTGTAACTTCCTTCTACTGTCCTGGTTTATATTGAGAGAGAAGAGCTGTTGTACAGCTGCTGGCAGCAGAGAGTCTCTAGCTGGGAGTTGACCCCTCCCACCTGTAAACGAAGATCAATGGAGCACCTCCAGACCCTAGTACGAAATGTAATTTGTACTATGGTGTGGTAGGACCAGGCTATGACCTTGTATAAGTTTTAGAAACTTCTTTCTCTGACCCACATGTAAGCAACAGCCCAGAAAGCATTTTGGTTTCAATGCTATTTATTGATGTCTATTAGGTGACCTGCCAACGTATTCCCTGGATCCATCTAATGTTGATTTATACTTCAAATGGACAGTAAAGCCAATAAAAACCAGGGCAAAAGCTGAGAAAAGCAGTACGTATGTACCTCTCAAATATCAACAAATCTCTGAACACAACTTTGGATGAGAGCAAACATTACATGCTTTTACAGGGTATTGAGAGCTCATAATTTTCAGGTGTGCACCACTTCATTTGCAAAACAAATAAGACAAGACCAAACCCAAACCACATGCAAATATTGAGACCAGAGAAGTGGGTCAGGGTCCGGGTCTAGGACTGGTTTCAGCTTTTTGTTGTTGAAATAGCTTATTGAAGTAAACCTATTTCTAGTCCTCATCCAGAAGTAGTTGCAGTAGTTGTAGTAGTTGTAGTAATATTAGTAGTGGTAGTATTAGCAGAAGTAGTAGCAGCTGCAGTAGCAGAAGTAGTAGTAGTAATAATTCATCAGGTTTATACAGCGATTTTTAGGATTTTCAAGACGCCTCACAAGTTATTATTCTTTCACTCCATACAGAGTGGTGATAAACTACTACTGTAGCCTCAGACAGCCACAGAGGCATATGCCATCTGCCCCACCGGCCACCACCAGCCATTCACACACACAAACTCATTCTCTGCAATGTGGGAGAAGTGTCTTGCCTGGCAAGAGGTCTCCCATCACAGTATTAAACAGGCCCTGCCCTGCCCGGCTTCAGAGGTCTGACAGAATCTGGCTTTCGCTGGCTTAGTAGCAGTTGTATCTGTTGTAGTAGTAGCCATAGTAGCAGTAGCAGTAGTAGTAGTAGTAATGGGAGTATTAGAAGCAGTAGTAGTAGTAGTAGTAGTAGTAGTAGTATTGTTTTGACCAGTGCATGCTTGTGGTTGTCAAATGTGAGGATTGTGGATGATCTCATGTATTTATGAAAGCTGATCTGAGTCGGACGCTGGAGGAAACAGCTGCAGAGAAAGTGTAACACGAAGGGTTAATGTGAGGGCGGCCATGACACCTTCACTCAAGCAGCTGTGGGCATCAAGAGGAGGCCAGTCCCTGTGCTCCTAAGAGTCCCAGCAGAAGGCCAGTCCCTGTGCTCCTCAGAGTCCCAGCAGGAGGCCAGTCCCTGTGCTCCTCAGAGTCCCAGCAGGAGGCCAGTCCCTGTGCTCCTCAGAGTTCCAGCAGGAGGCCAGTCTCTGTGCTCCTCAGAGTCCGAGTTGGCTACCACTAATATTTTGGGTCCAGATTGTGACCAATCTGGACCCAAAACAAAATCTCTTCATTGTTGCACAAAAACTCGATTTAAAATAAAATGACACCCAGCACAAATTTGCGCTACTTTTTCTTCAAAAGGACGTATATCCCAATGCATTGCATGGATATGGATTGAATTTTTGTAATGAATACAAAAATAAAGTGAGGTAATTCAGCTTAAAGCAGCAACACCCTCCACATAATCATATTATCATATTTGGGTTAGATCCCTTCTGAAGTAAAGATGTACAAGACAACATAATCCCATGTTGTTGTGGACAGGAGACATCCGAGAACTATTGTCTGGCTGATTTAGATCGAGCAGATTACCTTTTTTGTGAATAGAGAGATAGAAATAGAAGAGCTGATAGGAAAGAGAGACAGACAGAGAGGGAACGGAGGGGGAAGGGGGGAGGAATTTCACTGAAAATTGGGACGAAAGCGTGAACATTTTTGCAACAACTGCCCAGTGTTTACGAGCACAGACAAAGATGTATTGTACAAGAAGTCCAAACTATCACTCAGACTTAGCAGTTCAAAATATTAAAAGTAAACACAATGTTCTCTCTCCCATCAACTTTAACCATAGGCAGAACTCTTGGCCAGGACCGAAGTGTTCTTTGAATCTCAATCGGATATTCTCATTGAGATTCAAAGACCAAAAGATAATGGGAATATGCCCTTTTTCTACATGTTTTAGATTGTGAAATGAAAAAGTAGAAGATATATAGATAAACATAGGTGAAGGATAATAAATACAGGGAGACCAGAGGCAGAGTGCAAAGAGAAACCAGAGATAGACTAGAGAGATATTAGAGAGAAACCACACAAGAGACAAAAGACCTGAGCTGAGAGAGATTAGAGAGAGACCAGAGCAAGGAAAGACCAGACCTGAGAGAGCAGAGAGAGCAGAGTAAGGACAGTGAGGATCCGGGACATCTATGGAGGGTGACATGTTATTGCCATATGAACCAACTTGGACTCTGAGGAGCACAGGGACTGGCCTCCTGCTGGTGTCCAGAGTCAGGACTAAACATGGGGACTGTATAACATTATCATAGCACCCTGTACAATACTGATTTTATTGCTTTAATTATTTTGTTTGTAAGCGTGGTGGTCCATTAATGAAAAAACAAATATAATGTGTTGACTTGAAACACAATGTACTGGTCGAAGCAGTAACGCTACCCAGAATGCATTGTAGAGCAAAATATAAACCATCCTTTTGAAAAAATGTACATTTGATTGTTAATTTTGAGAATAAATATGAAGCAATTCCTAATGCAAAATACTTAAGCAACATTTTTTATACATTCATCAGACCAAATAAATAATTGTATTATTTTTACGAACCGTAATCAACGAGGCCAAGCCAAAGTAGCCCTGTTTAAAGTAGCTAGGCCAGAATAGATGTATTTAAACTTCCTGGGCCAAAGTAGGCCTATTTAAACTACCTTTGTCAAAGTAGACTTATTTAACCCATTTAGGCCTGGCACACCTGGTAAAACACACCTGTAAAACCTATGACCGACTTTAAAACCAACCTCTGAAAACTGAAGTTTTCCTGAAATTCAACGTCCACAGAATGACTTGTATCTCGGCCTCTGTGGCAGATAGAATCATAATTCCAAAAGAATTTGAGAGCTGACACTTGGAGAGTATTATTATAAACCTTTCGTAGAATAATACAAAAATTAGCTACATCCACACAGGAAAGATAATAAAACACCAAAAATAATGTGACACTAACAATATTTCTCAATACAATAAGTTAACAAGAGTTTGGCACAAAAGTGGGACTAACTGTGTGTAAAAAAAATCCACTCTCAGCTCAAAAAGTCAAATAATGACTCCCAGGGCTGTTGTTGAGTCAACAACAACAACAACAACAAACCACAACATTTGTTCACACGTTTTTACTTTTGTGCACAAATAACATGCATTGTCAATGCAAACGAAAGTGTAGGTACCTCAGCTTTAATTCAGTGAATTTTGGTTGCGCTTCAGGAGGAGACACGGGGGAGACCCGGGGGAGATACAGGGGAGACACAGAGGAGACATGTCCAACAAGCTGAGGTGGCTCACAGTCCAAAAGTGAAAGTTAAAAGATGATTTCTGTTTGTAAAGAGACACTGTACATGAGTCACTTCTCATGTAAGTGACAATTCTGTTGTTGTTCTCGTTTATTTACGCCCAGAACGAACAAAGTATGATCCAAATCCGACACAAGTGTTTGACAATCGAGCAGAAACCATATCCTCCTCCTTTGTGAGCGTTCAGGACGAGAGATCCGAGAGTTTTAAAGGAGACACACCATTGAGCTTTCCTCCATGTTCCAACATTATTCCTCATCAGTCACAGACCTGGAGCTGTGTTTGGCTCCATTCACGCTAAAATCAGGAACTTCTCGCACAAACATGTAACTCTGCCGCCTTCTGTCTCCAGATCCTGTCAGACCTCTGAAGCTAAGCAGGGCAGGGCTTGGTTAGAACTGTGATGGGAGACCTCTGGGAACACCTGCTGCCACAGTGGGGCGGCTGAGGGTGTAAAGTGGCAAGCTAGGGTTGCGCCCTTAGGCAAGACACTTCAACCACATTGCCTAGAATGAGTCTGGTGTGTGCATGAATGGTTGGTGGTGGTCAGAGGGGCTGATGGCACATATGGGTTGCCTTGCGTATGTCAGTGTGCCCCAGGGCAGCTGTGGCTACAGTATTAGTGCATAACCACTATATGGAGTGAAATATGACGCGTCTTTGAGTGTCCTTACAGTACTATATAAAACCAATGCATTATTATTATTATTTACTACCACTGCTGCTTCTACTACTACTGCTACTGCCACAACTAATAAATACACAACATTTTCTGTTACATCTCCTAAAACGTAAAAAAGTCCAGTTTAGCTTTATTTACTGATTTATTTTTCTTGTTTTGCCCCCACTTACCACTTCACTCCGCTGGGATCACAGAATTTCCTCCTAGTGTTTCAGCAGAATCAGTCATTCTTCATCTCCTTCCTCTCCCCACTCAGACTACTACTACTACACTACTCCTACTCCTACTCCTTCGACTACTACTACTTCTACTACTACTTATACCACTACTACTACTACTACTACTGAGAATTTCCTCCTGGTATTTCAGCAGAATCTGTGGGTCAGCTCCTCCTTCCTCTTCCCTCTCAGACTACTGCTACTAATGATACTACTAATACTACTACTATTACTACTACTACTACTACTACAACACAGTATTTCCTCCTGGTATTTCAGCAGAGGCCGTGGTTCCGCTCCTCCTCCCTCTCCTTACTCAGATCGAGGTCTTTGTTTTGCTGCTGACGTGTCTGATATGAATAATGTGGTGTTTCCCGCTGCCCACACTGGCCCCTGTGTCGCTCTAATGCCACACACAGTATTGTATTGAACAGCCCCGATGGGAGGTTTGTGACTGTTGCCGAGCGCGGAAGTGAGCGCGAGAGGCTGACAGCTCTTTCTTCAGCTGCAAACAATGAGAAACACTCAGGTCATTCAAGCGTTCAGGTGGCAAAAGGTCAGAGGAGCTGTAAAAATTAAAAGCAATATGTGAAAAAATGAGACCTCAACATGCTGTCTTCATCTCATCAGAAAACATTTGATCTTTTGTGTGTCTCTATTTGAGGCTTTGGCTGATTGGCTGAGTGAGGGTGGTCCTCTCTTTTTACTTTTCTGTTCGAGAAAGTTCATATAAACATGTGACAGAGGTCAAAAATACATGTGAAAACTACTGATAGAAGCAAACTGTTTTGTGAGTGAGGTCCAGCTTTAGACCTGCTTTAGTTCTGCTTTAGAATTGCTAAAGTCCTGCTTCAGTCCTGCCTCAATCATTCTTCATTCTCTGCTTCAGTCCTAGACCTGCTGTAGTTCTGCTTGAGTTTTTACTAAAGTCCTGCTTTTCTTTGTTGTGCTTTGTAGTCTAAAATGTATGTTTTCTTTTTCAGATATTGTTTTCTCGCTCCTCTGCTCCTCACGTGAACATCTCCCTGGACTCTGGACCCGTCTCCTCCAGCCTCCTCCTCCACAACCACGGACAGCTGCTGGTCGCCACCGGCAACAAGGTAACAACACTCAAATATGTCCACTTTTGCTTGTATTGTTGACCGAGTTTCAACTTACAAACTGAGGCTTACAAATGATGGATTACTTTCAGACACCAAAAACCCAGACTTGTTTTAAGGACGTTTGGTGTTTGTTTTTGTTTTTTGTTCCTGTAGATAACGTCGGTGCCTCTGATTGGCCCTGGCTGTAATCAGCTGACCACCTGCACTTCCTGTTTGCTGTCATCAAGGGTAACCGATTGCGGATGGTGCAACGGCCGCTGCACGAGGTCCAGTGAGTGTACAAGCGAGTGGAGCCAGGAGAACTGCCAACCTGTTATTACCAAGGTACAAATACTACTGCTGCTGCTACTTCGTTGTCCGAGTTTCAGCAGAGACTTCTCTATCGACGCACACATCATCCCAGCTCATCCGGGGGAATCCTGAGGCCATCTGAGAGACACAGTCTCTCCAATGTGCCCTGGGTCTTCCCCTGGTTTCCTCCTGGAAAACCTCCCCATGGAGGCATCCAGGAGGCAAACATCTGTGAGACAAACTTATGCCCGAGCTCCTCCTATGTGTTTGACCTCCTCACCCTGTCTCTAAGGGAGCTGCAGCTTTACTTTGAGTTCCTCCCGTGTAACTGAGCTTCTCAGCTTGTCTCTTAGAATGCATCCAGCCACTCGCAGAGGAAACTCAAGCACGTACAGCTTTTTTTCTCCCTTCAAAGCTCTGACCGTTACAGACGGCCAGACGCTCGAGTGGAGCAGAGACGACAGACTCAGCAGCACTGCTCTGTGGACTGGACACAAGTGTTCCAGAGACCAGAGACTCAGACCTGTTGTTGTAGAACGAATGAAGTGGTTCAGTCCTGCATGAGACAACCCATTCCTCATTAAAACAGGAGCATCAGCAGTACATACTCTATATAATATATCTTACTTACATGGTGCTATTTTGGACCAAAAGTCGAATTATACAAATAAGCAGTTAGATGTAGGCATTTTTGACCTTATGGCTTTTGAACATTTGAAGTTCTGAAGTGAGTCAGTGTTCAATTTAATTCAATAGATTTTTGTTATGATTTAACAACAGTAGTAGTAGGTCCTCAGGGTTCAGAAGGCTCGGCTCTGCCCCCTGGGTTCAGAAGGCACTATTGTAGCTGTGGTGAGATAGCTACAGTAACATGAGTAAACTTTATTTTTGTGAATCCTATAATTTTAAAGTTCAGAACTGCGCAATTCTAGTAATAACAGTTTTCAAATCTGGGTTGTCAGCCCCTGGACAAGTCTGGTAAACTAAAGTGGACCTCTTATTAAAAAGTTTGGACACCCTTGATATAAACAATTGTGAAGTGAAGTAGATTAAACGTGTATTAAAACCTCTCTTCTCCCTTCTTTCTCAGTTCTGGCCGAGCAGTGCTCCTTTGCGCGGATCCACAGCTCTCACTATCTGTGGACAAAACTTCGGCTTTGATAAGTCGTATAATTTCCGAGCGTCAATGGTCAATGTGGAGGTGGGAGGAGTGGCCTGCAAAGTGGAGCGTCACGTCAGCAGGTGAAACACACACACCCATATATGTACACGATTGTAGTTTACAGTATTACATCTATTGGGTGATTGTGCTCACAAGCAACTGTAACTCTATATGTTTGCAATTCAGATATTACCCCTAATGATAAGGGGCGGATACAGACCACTGCTCCTGGCTCTTTGGTTGCTAGGTAGTTTCTGTGGGATTCCCGTCCATGGAGCTGGTTTGAGCTGGTTCTCTAGGAAAAGCCAAAAATACATTTAACACACAGATCAGAGAGTCAAACAGTTCAAACACAAGAAATGCACTGATAAAAAAACATAGAGCTATTGGTCCATAAGGGGCAGACGACCAATGTCCATAAATGTCAATAAAGTCCATAATTATTTTTGAATGTTGAGTGTCCTTTGTTTCATGTAATTTAAGGATATTTACGGACATTTAAGGGAATTGGTCGTCCCACTTTCTATGGCTCCTGCTGTAATTATCGTGTTTAATAATTAAATCCACAACACGTATAACGTACCTCCAGGGTGCTCTTGTCTTCAGAAGCGACAAGGCTTTGGGTTGTTACAATGACACTTATTTTTACCCTTTTATTTGAACAGATTCCCCATTCATTATATAGCTCATATCTGGATTTACAAGTACAACATCACAAAATAAACACCAGGATCACAGACAGCGCTAAACCATAGATTTCTAAACACAAAAATGGTGAGTATGACACGAACGGTTACTGAGCTAGAGGAGTTTACTTTTTAGTGTACGCCAATAGGAGCCAGAGCTAGTTGGAGTATAATTTTGTGACCATTCAAGAATAAAATAATACAAAACAAAAACAGGAAATGTAGAGCCATGCCTCTCAAAAGCATGAGGGCCGTCCAATGCCTCTTGCAGCTTTCACTCTCTTTCCGGCGTCGTAGTAGCTACTCCTTAACTGTATTTACCACATTTCTGGTTGTTTCTCTCCTCACACACACACTGTCTCTGTGAGGATGAATGCGTGCCGTTGTCTCGCCGTACGGTCACATGACTTCACTAACAACCGGATTGTGTGGGAAACGCGGAGCTCGGCACTGTCTCACAACGGCCCACAGTGCTCTCTTAATTGGGCCGAATGAGTGTCCGATTAGAGCCTAATGTGATTGTTTTTACCGTCTTGTTTATTAGGTGGACGGAAGTGCAGTGCGCGCCGGTTTTCAGCGCCAACTTCACGGTGAAGGACAGAGACGTGAAAGTGACCAGTGGGACTCGAGTGGCCAAGATGGAGGGCTTCACATTTGGGGTGAGAACGTTGACAAGCTCGGTCACTAAAGCTGGGGTAGCTTACAGTTTTAAAGAAATATTAAACTTTGTTTTTGGTCTTTAAAAATGATTTTAGACCGTTTACTTTGTCATTTCACGTTTTATAAAGTGGAAATGATATCTTCAGGGGAAACTATAGGGAGAAAAAAGTATGAAGTGTAAAAAAATGGTTTCTGCCTGTAACTCCCTATGCTGCCACCAGAGGGAGTAGGGACATTTGTTGTTTTTTTTTCAAGTTTGAAAATAAAGTAAGCAAAATAGGAAAGAGGAGAGTAGGCAGGAGAGATGGGAGAGAAGTGAGGAGAGAAGAGAGAAGAGGAACAATAGAAGAATGGGAAAGAGAGGAGAAGAGAAAGAAGAAATGGTACAAAGAGATATGAGAGGAGAGGAGAGAGAGCGTGGTTTGACTATGTATTTGTATTTATTTGTTTTCAGGGCCAGTGGAAACATTCCCAATAGAGGAGAGTAGAGTAAAATAGAGCAGAGTAGAGTAGGGTTGGTTAGAGTAGAGTAGAGTATATTACAGTAGAGCAGAGTATAAGGATTGAGTAGAGTGAAGGCAGTTTATTTGTATAGCACAATTCATACACAAGGCAACTCAAAGTGATGAAAAAGTACGGTAGCGTTGAGTAGATTAGAGTTGAGTAGGGCTATAATTTAGTTACAGTCTAACAATCAGTAAAAGTTTGTAACCTTACTCCACATGTGGAATGACACTATTTTCCGGTTGGGTCCAGGAGCCAGTCATCCACGAGATTTTCCCCACGTTTGGACCTAAATCCGGGAACACGATGCTGACGATCCGCGGAGCCTTTTTAGACTCTGGCAACAAGAGAGAAGTGACGGTGGGGAGAGCGGCCTGCAAGATCCAGAGGTGAGGAAACACAAATACAACAGGGTTTAGGCCCAACCAGTCTATTTGGTGTAACTGGGTTGAACCATCTCCACTCATTTACGCTGCTTGTAACAACAGAAACCGGATACCAGGACTAAACAAGGACTAGATCAGGTTTAAAACAGGTTTACACAAGGGGCTTAACCAGGATGGTTTTGTCTTAAGTCCTGGTTTAGTCCAGATTTGTAACTGGTTTAGTCCTTGTTTAATCCTAGTTAAGACCTGGTTTAGACCTGGTCTACCTGGACTACTAGTAAGTAAGTAAGAAAACTTTATTTATATACCGCCTTTCACAGACCAGAGTCACAAAACGGTTTACTATTGTTGTGGGCAGTTGTCTCCCGCTCCACACAGGGAGAGGGCTTTTTACCTGGTTTAGTCCAATTGGAAATACTTTCCTGTCAACAGTCCTGTTTAGTCCTGTTCAGACCATGTTTAAGTCGTTGTTAAGTGTTTGTCCTGAAGTAGTCGTGGTAAAGTCCCGGTTTAGTCCTTCAGGTTTTAAATGTCTTCTTTGACCTGCTCTCCTGTCTGTCCTGGCCACAGTCTGTCCTCGTCCATGCTGACCTGTAAGACCCCGCCTCAGCCCCTCCCCTCTCTAGAAGTGGTCCGTCTGAGTCTGGACTCGCTGGAGCTCAGAGCCTCCCAACTCTTCACCTACAACCAGGACCCCATCATCCACAGCATCCAGCCCTCCAGGTCCTTCGTCAGGTCAGGAACCCTCCCTCTTTGCGGGCACTTGACAGTCCTACATTCAGAACAAAAGTCTAGTCCATGTGTTTACTTCAGTCTGCTTTCAACCACTTTTACAAAAATAGTTTTGTTTAAGTCTTCTGTCAAACATTTTTCCACATGAATAACACCTTGGTTTTGTCATGGTTAAGAGCTCTGGTTTAGTCCTTATTAAGACCTAAGTTAGACAAAGTCCTCGTCTAGACCTGGTTTAATTCTGGTTTAGACTTAGTTTAGACCTTGTTTGGACCTGGTTGAGACCTGCTTTATTCCATTGATCCCAGTGGTGACACATGATGAAGCGGTCTGTGTTTTTGAGATAAGGGAGGAGGGAGCAAGAGGTGACGGACGAGCTCCAAAAACACTTTCTTTGCGTAAAATAAAAGTAAATTGAGCTGTTTATTTGGAGAAGCTTTGAGTGGAGGAAAGCCAGATCTGACCAAATCACTTTAGTCCAACTGAACTCGACTATCATGTCTTTTGTCAACAACAAAACCGGAACCAGGCGTATGTGATGAACGTATACAGCAGATCAGAGAGATGAGTAGAGTAGAGTAGAGAAGGATAGAGTAGAGAAGACCAGGGTCGGTACAGTAGTGTAGAGTAGGGCCGAGTTGGACTTAGTAGGGTAGGTCCGAGTAGGATAGAGAATGGCAGAATAGTAGAGCTGAGTAGAATAGAATAGAGAAGAGTAGAGTAGAGAAGAGTAGAGCTGGTGGACACTGGGCTATAGTTTCTGCCTGAGTAAGTGTATGTTGTGTATGTGTTTGTTCATATGTATCTCCTGTGCACAGTGGCGGCTGCACGGTCTCTGCTCATGGCTTCTTCCTTCAGTCCGGACTTCAGCCTGAGATGGTCCTCACCACGAGCCACGACCAACACGTCTTCCACGTCGTGAGTATTAATTCTGAGCCTCTGTGGGAAAGAGACGTGCTGAGTATTACATGAATACATGAAGGACCGGTCAGAGTTGGTGAATCAGAACAACCAGTGTGAAAAGTGAAAATGTAGACCTCTTTACTGGTGGAAAATACACATGTGCCACCAGCATATCCCGGCAATCCAGAAGCTGAGCAAGGCAGGGCCTGGTTATTACTGTTATGGGAAACCTCTGGGAACAAGTGCCACAGTATCATTTGGCAAGACACTGAGGCACAGATTGCTTTATCTCCGGCAGTCTGCCCCAGGGAAATTGTAGCTACAGTAGTAGCTTATCACAATGAATAAAGCTGAGAAGCGTCTTTGGGTGTCAAGAAAAGCGACATGTATTGTAAATACTATGCATTAGCATAGCATGCAGCAGCAGCATCAGTAGTAGTAGCAGTAGTAGTAGTAGCAGTAGTAGTAGCAGTAGTAGTAGCAGTAGTAGTAGCAGCAGTAGCAGTAGTAGTAGTAGCAGCAGTAGCAGTAGTAGCCGTAGTAGCAGTAGTAGTAGCAGCAGTAGTAGTAGCAGCAGTAGTAGTAGCAGTAGTAGTAGTAGTAGCAGCAGTAGTAGCAGCAGTAGTAACAGTAATATTAGGAGGATTGGATTCCCCTCTCCTCCTTCACTTTCACATCGGCAGACTCCCTTCCTGCTCTCTTGTCTGGATGCCTTTTTATGGGCGCGTCACCATGACCTCACGCTGCATGTGCTGAAGTCGTTGTCCGCGGTAACGTCCTCGCTCAGCGCTGACAATAGAAACGTGATCCACAGAAGGAGAAACACAAACGTGGAAGAGACGTGACCTCAGCGCATCGTCTGCAGAAAAGCACTACAGACGTGGATTCAGGGCCTCTGGATCTGTTTATGACGATAGGTGCAATTTGTTCGCTTTGAACTACAGTTGAAGAGGCCGTCTGAATTATGTGGTCTTAATGATACAGGATTTTGATTTTTAAAAAGTAGAACATGCACAGGTTGTTGTGCAGTTAATACTGTGTGGAATCCCCAGCTCTTGCGACTTTTCTCCCTATAATGTGCTGTATTTTGCTCCATCCATCTTCCTATCAACTCGAACATTCTTCCCTGTTCCTGCTGAAAAAAAGTAGCCCCATAGCATGATGCTGCCATCCCCACTCTGGGGATGGTGCACTGAGGGAGGTGAGCCGTGTTAGTTTTGAGTAATATATATAATTTTGTATTTGGCAAAAGACTTTGGACTTGCTGACCACAGCCCCTTCGTCCACATGTTGGTTTATTTAACACGGGAGGAGCTCAGAATTGAGCCGATGCTTCTACACGTCAAGAAAAGCCTGTTGAGGTGGCTCGGGCATCCAATTGGGATGCCTCCTGGATGCCTCTCTGTGGAAGTGTACCAGGGAAAGACCCTGGACACGCTGGAAGGATTGTGTCTCTCAACTGGCCTGGGAGAAGGCTTAGATTGCTGCCCAAAAACCAGCAACAGAGAAAGCGGAAGATAATGGATGAATGGATGTTTATGGTGAGACAAAATGCGCAAAAGTTCAAATGCTTTTGAGAGGCTCTGTAGGTGCTTCTGTGGATCATTTACTTATCTTATATTTGTACAAAGTGATGTATGGCCAAGATTTTCCCCTCGTCAGAAAGTGGAAACAGAAAACAGACTGGGCTCCTGTCTGCTCCTCCTTCTTCTGACACTTTGGAAAATGTCTTTGTCAGGTGGACAGCTGCTCACATCTGCTCGAATGGGAAAACGATAGCAGATTGTGGATCAAAGCAGCAGTTTTGTAATGAATGGAGGAAAATGCAAATATGGAAAAAAGTTCAGCCAAAATTATGGGATTAAGTAGTGACCCAAAACTGTTAATAATGTGCACTGCTATTGTTATTCAAGAGGCTCTCAAGGTGCTTTGCTCAACAGCCCTGCTGCAGTAAACCTTCAGATGTATGCCGAGCCCTTGTGACCACAAAGCGTATATCGCGTATATCGCATAACGATGGGTGGTGGTCAGTCTACTCCAGGGCAGCTGTGGCTACAGTAGTAGTTTCTATAAATGGCACATCTGTTTTGTATTTATTTGTTTTCAGATTGTTGTTTTGCAGAGTTGAAATGTCCTTGTGTTTCCATTTGAGGTCAGAGCTTTATGACCCTCTCAGGACACCATAGTCTCACAAACAAAGAGCAGACAGGAAATACAATTCAACTCTCATCTATTTTAGACAAGTGCACGACTACTGCGACTATTATTACGATTGCTTCTACTGCCACTGCTACTGCGGTGTTACTGTCATGGTGTGGACTTTTTGTTGATTTGTTTTGATATTTATCTGTTTTCTGGTTGTTGTGAGTTTCACTTCTGTCCTGTTGATTGTTTGTCCCACCCTGATGTATTACACCTGTGTCTCCTTGTTTGTCTATAGACCCTGTATATTCAGACCCTGTGCTCCTGTATATTCAGACCCTGAGCTCCTGTATATTCAGATCCTGAGCTCCTGTGTATTCAGACCCTGTGCTCCTGTATATTCAGACCCTGAGCTCCTGTATATTCAGACCCTGAGCTCCTGTGTATTCAGACCCTGAGCTCCTGTGTATTCAGACCCTGTGCTCCTGTATATTCAGACCCTGTGCTCCTGTGTATTTAGACCCTGTGCTCCTATGTATTCAGACCCTGTGCTCCCGTCCTCTTGTTGTTGACCCATGGATGTGGTTTCAGTTCATACTTTTGTTTTTATTTAGTTGTGGGATTTATAATATGATATTAATTTTGGAGTTCTGCTTTTGGGTCCTTTTTGGGCACGGTGGCTGAGTAGATAGCACTCTCGCCTCTCAGCAAGAAGGTCCTGGGTTCGAATCCCGGTCGGAACAGGGCCTTTCTGAGTGGAGTTTGCCTGTTCTGCCCGTGTCTGCGTAGGTTTCCTCCGGGTACTCCAGTTTCCCCTACCACTAAAAACATGCACAATAGGACTGTGCATGTGCCTCCTGTTCGGCGACCCCGCTCCCATCTCTGTGTGGAGCGAGAGAACAAGTGCCCAAAAATAACAATTGTAAACCGCTTTGTGACTCTGGTCTGTGAAAGGCGGTATATAAATAAAGATTACTTACTTACTTACTTTTATCCCGTGACACTACTACTACTACTGATACTACCAGTGCTGATACTACTACTGCTACTACTGCTAGTATAATTTCTATTGCTTCTACTACTACTATTACTACTACTGCTGCTGCTACGAATATTATTTCTTCTGCTCCTACCACTACTATTATTTCTACTACTACTGCTGCTACTTCTGCTGCTGCTGCTTCTGCTCCGGCTACTGCAAAAGAGGCACGTGGCTCTTGCAGCACTTGCAGCGTGTCGGGAACATAAGAGAGTGTCTAGTCATTTATTTATTCTCTTCACTTATCTTTGTGAAAATACGTTGTGACCGAGCTGCAGCGAGTTGAACACGGTTTGAAACTGAAGGCAAACTTTTCCTTATGTCAACATTATGACATGTTCAGGTGTGAAATGTTTAAGCACATTTACTCAGCTGTGGTCACTCCCAGTCTGTTTACCTGCCCCCAGTGAACCAGGACTCGACCAGGACTTGACCAAGAGTTGACCAGGACTGGACCAAGAATTAACCTGGATCAGGACTGCAGCAGGACTGTGTCCTTCCATTAATGTCCTGTATTTTTGTCTGTCGACCTTCCCATCAACTCTGGTACACATCCCTGGCTCCACTAAAGAAACAGAGCCCCAAAGCATGATGCTGCCACCCCTGTATTTGACTCTACGGATGGTGCACTGAGCCTGAAGACCAGTGTAGTTTTCATCTGACCACAGCAGCTTTCTGTTACTTTGTTGTATCTTTCAAATTCAGGCTGTAATAGAAATTTTGAAAGAAGAAGAGAAAGATCAAAGAGAGAGCAGAGAGAGGGACCACAGAGAAAGAAAACAGAGATATCAGAGGGATATTCGAGAGAGAGAGGCACATGAAAGAGACAAGAGAGAGACCATAGAGAGAGAATTTCTCCCATTGTTTTTTCTTCCCTTTAACCTTTCATCATACATTTTGATATTATTTTGTTGCTGTCAGCTTAAAAACACAGGAAAACCACATGAAAACGTCAGCCACCGGATCTCAAAAAGCATATTACATTAAACGCTGTCATCACTCAGACCAGCTGTTTTTCAAACTACAATCCGGCAATAAAAATTCTCAATGTGATGGGGTTGATCTGAATAAAACGTGGTGACATTTTGACATTCGAGCAGTTTCTTCAGACGGACGCTGAGTGGGTGTTTATTCGTCTAAAGGGAGAACTTTGAATTATTATTGTGGGAAAAGTTGGAATACGAGAGCAGAGAGTGGGAATTAATAGCCCTATTTCCACCAGAGGGGGCGGGTCCCGGCTCAAAAATGTCCAAAATGACGTGCACTGACATGCTTGCAATACCACCCCGGGCCAATGGGGGAGGACCCGGAATTTTTTTTAGCCAATGCTAATGTATAGCATCTTCTTACCTCTCGAAACCGGCTTTACAAGATGGTCCAAAAGTTGGCTCTTGGCTCAAAGGTACGTTCAAAATTTGTGTCAATGCTGAGCGGAGTGATTTTCTTTGGACCACACTGTAACACATTTCTGTAAAATTACAATGAAATTTCAACATCAAAATTTTTTTTTTTTGAAAAACTATTCAAACATGCAAATTTAAGTATAAATTGGTTAAAAAACATCCAGTGGCGTTTTATTACCACAATTACAATGTGATTACAAAAAAACGTTACAATACCATAAAATCACAATGTGATTACCGTAATTACAATCAACTTGTTCTATTTTTGGAAGGCTGGGAAAGAGGTGTAAACTCCTGCTTTTGTTAAAATGATGCTTTTGCATTAACCATGATATAGAAGTAAAGATATAGACTATTTTCTTGTATAAATTGTTAAAAAATAATTGAAAAGTTGTGTTCCTTAAAGAAAAACAAATTAAACTGTGTAGTTTTTTGTTCAGTGAAACTGATTAGAAACAGAAACGTATTACATATGGTGTAATAATACAAAATGAACATTATAATGCTGTTTTTGTTGTATGTGAATAACAGGAACATACAGTTAAATCCTGAAATCACAAAGGCATTATGTGATTCAGTGAAACAATCTTCAACCGTTAAAATTAGCAACGGAGCCAGAGCGATTTGCAGCAAAACTTTGTCCATCTGTATACAGTCTATAGCGACTGTACACAGACAACCTTTTCAGACAGATAAGTGAAAAAGAGAGGACCACCCTCACTCAGCCAATCAGCTCTCAGCCCAAAGAGTAAAATAGTGACTTTCTTACGCGTGTTTTGGGTCATGTGCCCAGTCCCGTGTGGTTGCATACAGTAATTGGACATATATGGCAGACTGATGACAGAAACGATGACGGAGAACCTGTGTGAAATTTCCTTTTGGACGATTCTTCTGAAAATATAATACATTAAGCGCTACTGTCTCGGTCAGTATGACAGACGATCCTTTGGGACACACACTTTTTGGCAGAGAAAACTTGGCTTGCATCAGCCTGCTTAAAGCACAATATTTCAATATTTCCAGGGCAATGAAACTGGAAATGTGAGGTGGGATGGGTCTGTCTCTTGTCCCTCTCTGGTCTCTCTCTGGTCTCTCTCAGGTCTCTCTCTCTGGTCACTCTCTCTCTCTTTGGTCTCTCTCTCTCTCTCTGGTCACTCTCTCTCTGGTCTCTCCCTTGTCCCTGTCTGATCACTTTCTCCGGTCTCACTCTAGTTTCTTTCTGGTCTCCCATTTGATTTCCATGTAGCTGTGTTTATTTTGTAATTTTCCAGCTTCAGTCTTACACACTTCCCAAACCCCCTATGCCACTCCTCCTCACTACTCTAAACAATCTCTTTGTGATGAACGCGCCCAGAGGAGACGTGTTTGGACTGGAGGCTCAGATCTGCAGCCTGGATTACTGCTGCTTTTGTGTGTCCCATTTGAACACATTAAAACCAGCTCCGTGACGACACGCACCAGGATTATTGGAGAAAGGAGACAGCGAAAGACATTGCCTGAAGCGAATCCAAGAGGCCTCAACACAGACGTAACCTTAAAGTGCTGCTGATTTAAGGGATAAAGTCATCGCCGGGGGATATGTAGCATCTATAGACATTAAACGAGAATAACACGCAATTTCACCTCTTGCCGAGAGCGATGTACTATTAGGACAGTTGGAAAGTACATATATGATTTTGCAATGTTTCTATAACAGCGTTTCCATCACAGTATGGCAGAAGCAACACCAAATATGGTGTTAAGGATCCTTCATTTGCATTTGAATGTATGCACATAACTGATTAAACACATTTTGATAATAAAAACACATTTAATGTTTCACACGCCACAGTTGTCTACAAAGTTGTGGATTCGGAGAATCAGAGAAGCCAACACAGGAAATGTATTAATAACAAACACATAGGAATCATTCGTCCATAGGTAGCGAGATGACCACTCTCCATAAATGTTAATAAATGTCCTGGATCATCACTGTCCATAGATCCTCCTGCGTTGGCAAGAAACCATTCAAAAAACCCAGTAAGCTATTGCACTGTAGCCACAACTGCCCCAGAGCAGACAAACACAAGACAACCAGTTTGTGCCATTGGCCCTCCGATCATTCACACACACACCAGATGCATTCAAGGAAATGTCTGTGAAATGTCTTGCCTAAGGACACAACGGCAACTTTTCACCTGCAGTGGTATGAACCATGTCTGACTCAGACCTGAGCTCAGTCTGAGCTCAGGTCTGAACCAGAACTCGGTCTGAACCAGGTCTAAACCAGGACTAAACTTGTTAAATACCTGGTGCTTGTGTCTTTCAGAGCTGTGTGTACGGAGAGAACCACACCACAATCCAGTGCACCACTCCATCTCTGGCCAAACTGGCTCTGCAGCCCCCCCTGGTGACCAAAGTCTCCTTCATCCTGGACGGGTTCTGCACCGATCAGTGGGACCTGGTCTACGTGGAGGACCCTCTGTTCCAAGACCCCAAACTCACGTCCAAGGACAACAAGAGCATCGTGGAGCTCAAGGTGAGGCGGAGATCAAGACCGGTCTAGACCAGACTGTAGAAGGAGCACTGAGAAACAGGCAATATCGGATGGCAATGGGGTATGGGGTAGCAACGACTTAGCAACCAAAGAGCCAATCAGTGGGAGGCCCAAGGTTTTATCATTCCAAAAGACCACAATATATTTTTATCAATCAAACCAAACCAGGACTGAGCCAGGACTGAATCAGAACTGAACCAGTACTGAACCAGGACCGAACAATGACCAAGCCAGGACCAAACCAAAACTAAACCAAGACCAAATCAGACCAGGCCAGGTCTGTGCCAGGACCAAACCAGGATTGTGCAAGGACTGAACTGGGACTGAACGAGGTCTGAACCAGGACTTGGACAAGGAATGTGCAAGGACTGAACTGGGACTGAACCATGTCTGAACCAGGACTGAACCAGGACTGAACCAGGACTGAACCAGGCCGGTGTAAATTGCCCCAGACTCTGCGTCTCTTGGGAGCGATGATCCAAACAATGGGGCGGCTGACGGACACTGATGGACTCTGGGAAACGCAGTCTACTTCCTGTTTGTGGCGATTACCTCCTGCATGCTCTGACCTTCACCTCTGCTTCACAATAACATCACAAACACGTCTCAACAAACGGAAATCATTTACAAATAAACATGACGGAAATCTGCCAGTTCAAACGTAGATTTTTATGTATATTTCTTTTGTCCTGATTATGGGCTGGTTTCATTCTGATCCGTGGAAAAATGTGCAGTTACATGACCAGAATGGATGAAACGAGAACTTTAGAATGGGACCTGGGACAACAGTGGGAAAGGTTGTGTTGTTGTTTGGACCCATTTCGGATTTTCAGCAGACAGGAATGTGTCAAAATAAAATGGTCAATTGAACTTCTGAATTTCAGAGGAGATCATAGAGAAACCAGAGAGATTAAGACCAGAGAGGACCAGACAGACTCCAGAGCGAGAGCAGATGGAGTGCCCAGAGAGAGACCTGAGGGAATCACATTGTTGATGAGGAACAATGTTGAGACCAGACTTGAAAACACAACACATCTCTTTGAGTCCCATAGGACAAACACTCGTCGTTCAGACATATTTCACTTCAGGAGAATAATGTCAAATTATCCAAACACGTTCTGTGTTTGCTGCTGTCAATGTCAGTGCCTTACGTAAGTGTATTTCTGCTGCTGCCGTGAGCCGGGTTTAGAGCCCGCTCTTGTTGGTTTTGGCTCGTATTCCAACACTTCGCTTCACGGGAGAACGGCAAACTCTCACACACAATTAGCATCATGCGGAAACAGCCTGGGAACCGCAACAATGATCACTTTTGCAATAAACAAGGGTAATCAACATGGATTTTTGTGACGTTATTCATATACACTAATAAATGGACAATGCTTATGGAAGATTTTTTGTGTCACCAGATTTTTTATTTCAAATGAGCTTGAATTTTTGTCATTTTAAAATTGTAACCCTGAAAAAGCATGTTTGAATATTTTTGTATTTGCATCTCAGCCGCTAAAAATACAGTTTACAAATTTCAGTGTGATTAAAATTTCAAAATATCTTATTCCCCTTTACAATATTGATTTTTAAGCTCTCAAATTCAATGCACTGTGAAATGAAGGATTATTTGTTCCATCAGAAATTGAATTATAAATGGACCTGAATTCATCTATTTGAATTTTTAACAGATGGAATATTTTGATCTGGGAGTTTCAGTCACGGATTATTAATTTTATAATGTTTTTCATTTCAAAATAAAAACAAATTAGAAATGTTTTCAAGAACTTTAATTCAATTGTCTGAATTCGCAGCAAAAAAATACAATGGTAAAAAATTTGCATGACACATCCAGTGTTGTGACGAGCTGTGTGCTCAGTCAAGTTGGTCTGTGCATGCGTCATTTTGCTGAGGTAAAAACAGCTGCTAGCTTACAGCTGGTCTATTGATCACATGAATCTAACAGGTTGCACTTCGAACAGTGATTGTTGCAAATCATTCTTGCTGAATATTCCCGGCCTTACGTATTGCTTTGCCTTACGTGTTGTTTATGTACAGGAGAACATCACATGTTTAACATTTATAGCAACAAAGGATAGAAATATTGTTAGTAGGTATTGAGGTCTATCAGGTTAGTTTCCCCAGGTAGCAGTTTCCACTGTTGCCGGTGACTCGTGTCGCTCAAAAGAGGAAAAACTCCAACGGGACTCCATGTGAAGGAAGGAACAGAAAAACATTTATTCCACAGCTTGAACTCTTGTATACTAAATTATATTTGCTGAGTTGTCTCTAAAATAATTACGGTAAGAAAACCGTATGGCTCCTTATTACTTATTACTAAGTTAAGTGCTCTTTCGGCTCCGCTTGCTCCGTAAACAAAGAGAAACCTTTCTCTCTCTTAAAGTGACGGTAACATAGATATTTCAATTTAAATAATCTACATTAGTTCTAAAGGGTCGGGCTCTGTGGAGAGCACCAGCCTGTCACTGATCCTCCTGCAGGTGGAGGGTCCACAGAAGACTACTCTGTCGGTGAAGCACAGCCTTGATCTTTCAGAGGGGTCAAATATTAATTAAACAAATAACGCTAAAATAGTTATTACTAATTGTTGAAAATGAAACAAACAAACACTCTACTATATACTTAGCCTGGTCGTACCACACCATATTACAAATTACATTTCATACTAAGGTCTGGATCTGCTCCATTGAGCTAACAAGTGGGAGGGGTTAACTCCTTTTTCAGATTGAAACGATTGGATCTGAGTTTACCCTCATGTATGTAATGCGCCCGAGTGAGTCGTTAGCATTTAGCCTAGCTTTAGCCATCTCCTTTGCCACTAACGGAGCCCGTAGGGAGTAGCACCACAATATTTTCCAGCAATTAGATTTGCTAAACATTGCTCTTGCTCCGGCTTCAATTTCTTGATAGAACCAGACCGGACTACTTTACTATTGCATTTTTCGCCATTGCCAAACTACAACCTGCCCATTTGGCACAAACTCTTGGCGTCACCCACATCTAACTACAACACCCGCCTCCTGCGCTCGCTGATTGGTCGGATGGAATTCTACCGATGTAATCGCAAACACAGGGACCAGACCCAGACGTTACATGCAGGGAAATGATGATTGACCAGAGTGTACGGATGGCTAAGGCCAGGCTAATATATACCATGTGCTACATGCAAAATAGCAAATTAACTAACCCCTTTGTTTTTAATTGCAGTTTAGATGTATGTAGCCCACATCAAAGCAAAGTACAACTTTAACTGACAGAATTTTAAACTATTATCAATATATCCATATGTCTATCCTAACGGAGAGACATGGCAAGAGATTCCAACTTCGCTGAACAGAAAAGAGTTCACTTGTGCATGTACAGACCAACTTGACTGAGCACACAACTCGTCATAACACAGGATGTATCATGCAAATTTTTCACCATTTTATTTTTTGCAGCGATTTTAGACAGTTGAATTTAAGCTCTTGAAAATATATGCAAGATGTTAAAAATTTCAAATAGATGAATTCAGGTCAATTTAAAAATCAATTTCTGATTGAACAAATAATCCGTCTTTTTTTTAAAATGAATTTCACAGTGCATTGAATTTGAGAGCTTGCAAATAAACATATTGAATATTTTATAAGGCGAATATGTCATTTGGAAATATTAATAACATTGAAATTTGTAAACTGAATTCTTAGTGACTGAAATGCAAAGACAAACACATTCAAACATGGGTTTTCAAAGTTTCAAATGGAAAAATCCAAGCTCTTTTAAAATTAAAAATATTATGACACAAAAAATCTTCCCTAAATGTGACCAGCTAGCGCAATGAAACCCTACAGGGAAGAGCTCATAGACAAAGGTTTGCTCCAACTCGTTCTGGCTCTTATTTATTTACTTGTAAAAGTAAACTACTCTCACTCTGTAACCGTTTGAGTCACACACATTATTTTGGACTTAAAAACAACTGTGGTTTAGTGCTTGCTGATCCTGGTGTTTATATTTTGATCTTGTCTTCGGGCGGCAAAGTGATTAGTGGTTCGGGTGGTGCAGTGGTTAGCGCTTGTGCTAGCATGAAGGTTGTGAGTACGATTCCACCTCCAGGCCTTTCCTGTATGGAGTTGGCATGCGCCATCTCTGTGTGGAGTGCTATATAAATAAAGATTACTTACTTACTAACTTAGATATGACCCGTACGGATTGACCAATCGGATGCCTTCATTCACGAGGAAACTACAGCTTTCCTCAGCAACTACCTTAGTAACACATCTGCCCCTGTTACGGCACAAAGCTAACTCTGCAAAAAAGAAATACCCATTTTATGGGAAATGGCTCCAGCTAGCTTATGACACTGGTGATGTCACACTCCGTCAGTCCTACTGTACGTTCTATGATAATGGAACAGGTTTGAAGACAGAGAATTTAGACAGAAGGGGCGGGAGGGTGTTTGTGCCAGTCTGAAGCTCTTCTCTGCAGGTCTGTTTATGAGGAGGAACAATGCTGTGAACTGGTTAAAACTCTCCACTATATAATGTTTAGTTCGCTGGCTGAACTTTCTCTTCAATTATTTTGACTCGATTCTGCGGCGATGACCTCCAGCTCTACAGTGCAGAATGTAAATAATATGCGGCTTAAAAGAGCGTTAAAACAGCAGAACTAACGCGCGCTGAGTCCTGGAGCGCAGACGCGACAGGTGCCAGAGGCCGTGGAAAATCAGGAAAATCCACCCTCCAGAGAGAGAGCAAGGGTGCCAGGTTTACAGAGAGAAACCAGCCACAAGCCTCTGGAACATGGACCACATATTAGGAGTGGACTGACCCAGTGCTGATGTCACTATAGTGTGAGCCTTAATGCAGAAGACAATGCAATGGTTTCCTGCGTCTCCTTAAACTGGTATATCAAATGGTATATCATGTGTTGTCATGGAAACCTATATTGTTCCTGATAGAACGTTTTTTGAAAAAGCTTTAAAATGATGTAGTTGAGGAAGTTACAGTTACATATATGTGGAATGAGCTGATACTGTCAGACTTTTATAAGTTCAGACTGCAGCGCTGTCGTCTTTAGGACTTAAAATTCACCTGTTGTTTTTTTTTTGTGTGTGCGTGTGTGTGTGTGTGTGTCTCAGGGCGACAGAATGGACAGAGAGGCGATGAAGTGCCAGGTCCTGACGGTGTCCAACCACAGCTGTGAGACTCTGACCCTGGTGGGAAACACGCTGGAGTGTACGGTCCCTCACCAGCTGCACCAGAAAGAACTGCAGGTCCAGGTGAGACCAGACCAGACCAAGCCAATCCAGACCAAGCCAATCCAGACAAGACAAGACTCTTCACTTGTGATTCAAACAGAGACCATTTTACCATTTCTTATTATATTCCACAAACTTCATGTTTTGGTATCAACAGGTACCTATATTTTTTCTTTAAGCTACCTAACTTTCACTGTACAAATATAAGGTATGTAAGAAATACATGTCACATGCAAGTTTCTTGCTCTCAAAACAGTTTGGCTCAGTTTCAGACAGAAAAGTGAAAAGACTGTTCTGAGACTGGAGCCTGTGTCAAAGATAAGATGTTTTCTAATAGGAGGAAGACAGCACAAGACTTTTCCTGTTAGGACAATGGGCCAATGTATTATTTGTGAAGAAAGTTTAGTACTCCATCTTTACCTAGTACCTTTGCCACTTCTTCCACTGTGACATGACACATTGGGCCATGTCTGTCGTCTTCTGAAACGTGTCTGCAGACTTCATCATGGGCAGATAACACAGGAGCATCAGAAACACAGATAACAGAAAGTGAGAGCTCTCTATCGTCAACAGGAGATCTGCGTCTGTGTTTTTGCTCATTTCTCTGCTGCTCATAACCACAATACATATCTCTCTGCTGCTATCTGCCTCGGGACGTTCATTTTGAAGTGCGGGTTCTGGCATCAATCTTATCAGTAGATAATTACAGCGACTGGAATAAAACAGTTTTCATCTAATAAATGCAGCAACTATTCCCTGTCAAAGGATTTTCATTTTAAGGACCTGTTAATACCTTGGGGGGAAACTGTTCATAACAGAAGAACGAAATATTTAGTACTATTTTTCTTCAAGGAAAGTGGAGACATACAGTACATACATTCACTCGCACAATTACAATAACACCAGTTGTCAAATTTGTCAGCATGAAATTCACACAAATACATTATGTATTATGTAAAAGATTAGACAAAGTGAAATTCATCTTTATTCATAATTTAAAAACCACCAAATGAAGGAGCTGCTCTAATATACAGAGGTACTATTACACAGTTTGGGAGCAACAACTAGAGAGATAGAGACCAGAGAGAGAGAGAGACCAGAGAGAGGGAGACCAGAGAGCAACAGACCAGAAAGAGACTGTCAAATATACAGGAACCAAACCATTGAAACATTGAAAAACAAGCATCAGAATCTTAAAACCAACCCTGAGTGTGACTCGGAGAAGTGAAGTGACACCAGCACTGGGGTACTCTCTCCTTACGTGTGTCAGTGTGCAAGCGAGCAGCAGCTTCAGGACCTGCAGAAGGCACCTAACTCAGCTCAGGTCCAGACCACAGTACAGACAACCTCAGACAGCACTGTTTAATCCACGACCCAGGAAAGAGTGTGGCACAACTGCAAACCTACCAAGACAGCCTGAACAAGGGCAGCACTGATCAGGACTGAACCTGGACCTGAACCTCTTGATCAGTGGAGGCAGACAGACCCTCTCAGGCCTCTGAGCTGTTCTAACCTCTTCTCTCTCTTGTCTCTCATCAGTGGCGGCAGGCAGACTCCATCCGGTCTTTGGGAATGGTGACTCTGGCTCAGGAGCAGGACTTCACGGCTCTTGTGGTTGGCTGTGTGTGTGTCTCTGTGCTGCTGCTGGGACTGGGCTCTCTGCTGCTCTGGAGGAGGAACAAGCACATAGACGGTGAGACACTGATATCACCTCATTTACAAACAGTGTATCAGCCTAGAGCTGTAAAGATAGACCAAGAGAGACCTCTTTGAGAGAGAGCACAGAGAACCGTGAGAGACCAGCGAGAGAAATCAGAGAAAGACCAAATAGAGATCAGAAAGAGACCAGAAAGAGAGCAGAGAAAGAGATTACATGACGATTTATTTTTGCATTATGTTTGTGTTTGTTGTGTGGCAGATCTGTCTGAAGTGTGGTACGACGGCAGAGCTCACATCCAGCACCTGGACAGATTGGCCAACGCGCGCAGCACCAGTCCCACCAATGAGATGGTGTCACACGAGTCTGTGGATTACCGCACCACGCTGCTTGATGGTAACCATTTATATTGTCTTACACCAGAAATGCCATTGCTCTGCCCTGTTTTTATAGCCCATCAATCCATTGGAGTGGATCCCTCTCTCAATGTGAGCCGATGCAGGAGGGTCTAACGGCCGTGTCACGTGGCATGTGTACAATCGGCAGAGCACACAGAGACGTAGCAGCTGGTGCTGCCCCTGTGTAGTCTATGTAGAAGTGAAGAGGACAGTACAGGCAAAAGGGGTGCTTTACAGCAGCAAAATTCAGATGTACAGTATGTGTTTGTCTTGTGGTTTTCACCACAGGGGAGACAGCAATGTGTGAAAATAAAAGTAAAAACTTTCAAAATAAGTCCTCTAAATCCCAGCGCATTGCACCAGGACCAGAGAGCAATCAGAGAGAGAGACCAAAGAGAGAGACCGGAGCGAGATCAGAAAGAGTCCAGAGAGGAACCAGAGGGACAGACCAGAGCAAGACCAGAGAGAGAGACCAGAGAGGGACCAGAGTGACAGACCTGAGAGAGACCAGAGAGAGACTAGTGGGAATCACATTAAAACAGACTAAAAATACCGGAAATAGCAGCACGTGCAAAACCCTATACTCTGACATGTGAGAACTTCACTCACCCAAACACTGCTCCACGGCTCATTACGCTGTCATTATGCAAAGTATTTTCCCTCATCTGACTTGTGTGTAGTTTGAGAGCCTTCTTACCCTGAACCAAATGTGAGCAACAGCCTAAAAAACAGTCTTTTTCTGACAGAATCTTTGTTTCACGGCACGTTATGTCTTCTTTCAGTAATTTTTACCTATTGTGGTTAAATCTTCCTCTTTTGTGTCTGTATTTCACTCATGGGCTGACATAACACTCGAATGCCGCTCCTGGGTAAATGTGGTCTGGTTGAAAGTGCATTGAAGCTCGCGGATCACAGACAGATCATGTTTGGAGCAATAACCACAGTAAAACCACGACTGAAGCTGAAGTGAAGGGTGATGTGTGGTAATGACAGCTCCTCAGGCAAAAGAGAAACGGATCCTGGGCTTTCACACAAAACCATATATGCTCCGCAAAGGCAACAAGGCTGAAAGAAGATTGAATCATAAGACTCAAGATGTTGTTTTATTATTTTTTACACCACAAGAAAATAATGTACAACTGTGAAGTGAAAGCAAAAGGGGTTCTCTCTGATCCATTTCTGATCTCTCTGTTCACTCTCAGGTCTCTCTAGCCAATCAATCAATCAATCAACTACACACAAGCACTACACAAGGCAACACAAAGCGCCTCACTACCCATATCACAATCAGGCATAAATCATAAACATTAAAATCTACTTAAACGTCAAAAAAATTAAAATCTCACACAGCATAAAAAACAAACATCTCTCTCTCTCTCCGGCCTTTCTCTCTTCTCTCTCTGCTGGCTGTCTGCTCTCTCTCTGCCCACTCTCTGAAGGTTGCTTTGACTGTTTATATTAACACTGTATTCTCTGTGGTGAATAGATTGTGGTATGTGACTGAGTACAAAAAGTACATTCTCTAAGTAAATGAAACCAGGTACAAGAAAGTAGTCAGTACACAGGAAGAATCTGGCAACAAAAGTTGGATTGTAGATCTGTGTGTATTCTGCTTTCAATATAATGACAGCTTTTGATTTGTATTGAAAGTATTTCATGGAAAACCAGAGCTGGCTGAAACTCGTCACGTCTACTTATGTTTGGGACGTCAATGGTGCGAGCATGAGCCAATGAGCACAGGCCATTGATCTGAAGGGACAGACATCTTTAAAACCCGGGGCTTGTCCACTATTAGGAAAATGGAGAAAGTATTTTCCACTGGAAACTTACCTATAAATGGCCGCCCACCTTTTATTTATATGAAAAATGGGCTGTAAATAATGTCCAAAAGGTCAAGGTGTATTGATATGCTTGCAAGCCGCTTTATCCATTACATTGTCGTCCTTAATTTATCTATTTTTTAAAAGTATATATTTCAAAGCCTCGTTAAATGATGTGTTTTAGAATTAGATCCAGACCCAAGTTCCTTTGAGCTTGTCTCCGATCACTGTGGATTTCTGTGACCTCAGAACACAAAGGTTTAGGTTACTGTCATAAATGTACGTTTGCTATTATGTTTTGTTGTGTTTGACTCCAGAACAAAATGGCGAGCGGCCCGAGTCGTGCCGCGCCCCGGTGTACGGCGGAGAGCTACAGCACCACCGCGGGGCCATAGGGGGCGCCACAGGACCGGATGAGTTCATGTCTCCGCTGCTGTCAGGGGTCCCGGTCCACATAGACCCCAGCTGTCTGCACCCAGACCTGCTGAGAGAGGTCCAGCACGTGGTGATCAGCAGAGACAGGCTCATCCTTCATCTTCAACAAGTCATCGGGCGAGGTGAGGGGGTCTGGGCCGGGACTGGACTGAGACTGGTGCTGGACTGGACCAGGACTGGAGCAGGAGTGGACCGGGACCGGACTGAGACTGGTGCTGAACTGGACGGGAACTGGACTAGGACTGGGACTGGGACTGGACCAGGACTAAAGCAAGTCTAAACCAGGAACGAAAGCAGGACAAAACCAGGTCTGAACTAGGACTGAACCAGGACTAAACCAGATCTAAAGCAGGACTAAACAGGGAACTAAAGCAGGACTAAACCAGGTCTGAACAAAGACTGGACCAGGACTGGACCAGGACTGGACCAGGACTGGACCAGGACTGGACCGGGACTGGACTGAGACTGGTGCTGGACTGGACGGGGACTGGACGGGGACTGGACTGGGACTGGTGCTGGACTGGAGCAGGACTGGACCGGGACTGGACTGAGACTGGTGCTGGACTGGACCGGGACTGGACTGTGACTGGGAGTGGGACTGGACCAGGACTAAACCAAGTCTAAACGAGGAACTAAAGCAGGACTAAACCAGGTTTGAACTAGGACTGAACCAGGACTAAACCAGGTTTGAACTAGGACTGAACCAGGACTAAACCAGGTCTTAACGAAGACTGGACCAGGACTAAGCCAGGACTAAACCACGAACTAAAGCAGGGCTAAAGCAGGTCTGAACCAAGACTGAACCAGGACTGAACCAGGACTTAACCCAGCCTCAGGCAAGAGACTGGACCAGGACTGAACTAAACCAGATTTAATGTGACCCTCTCTTTCCTCGTTCAAAGTAATATAAGGAGAACTTTTCTGTGCTGTTCTATTTGAGACGTAACTCGAGATTTTCCAGAATTTGTTAGAACGTGATCAGACCGCGTCACGCCAATTACTGCCCCTCTGACCCCGAGACAGGTCTGAACCAGGACAAACCAGGACTGAGCCAGGTCTGACCCAGGTTGAGAACAGGACTAAACTCGGACTAAACCAGGACTGAAGTAGGACTAAACTTGGACCGAACCAGGATTATAGTGGGACTCAACTAGGACTGACCTAGGACTAACCAGGAATAAAACCGGACTATAGCAGGACTAAAGTAAGACTGAAGTAGGACTAAACCAGGATTGAATCAGGCCAGAACCTAATCTTTGAAATAAGTGGTAAATATGTCATCAGGACCAATCCATCTTCATGTTTTTAACTTCAGATGACAAAACCAACATTCTCCCATGACACTGGAGTTTAGAGTTTCAGCCGACGAAGGCAACGATGGAAACTCGATAGAGAAACGTCGGCTTCATGTTGTGTTTTTTCTTCTGTATTCGCTTTTTGATGTTTTACTGATTGTAAGTTACAGTTTCTGTGTTTGTGCTTCCAGGACATTTTGGCTGCGTTTTCCACGGGACTCTTCTGGAGGCCGACGGACAGAACCAGCACTGTGCCGTCAAGAGCTTAAACAGTAAATCACTTTTGCATACTGCATAAGAATAGAGCCCTGTGAGTCACTATTTGACTCTCTAAGCTGAGATCTGATTTTCTGATTTGGAGAAGTTCAAACGAGAGCTGATCTATAGATGTGACATGAGGCCAAAAATACACGTGAAAACTAGTGATAGAAGCAACTGTTCTTGAGCCAGAAGCTAGTGACATGAATGAATGTCTGTAGTCTCTGTTTTAGACCTGCATTAGTCCTTCTTTAGTATATGCTTTGGACCTGCTTTAGTCCTGCTTTAGTACTGCTTTAAACCGACTTATGTCTTACCTTAGACCTAGTTTAATCCTGCTTTAGACCTGGTTTGGTGCTGCACTAGCCCTGCTTTAGTCCTCCTTTCGTCCTACTTTAGTCTCTGTTTTGTTCATGCTTAGTTTCTACTTCAGACCTGTCTTAGTTAGATCCGAGTAGAGTAGAATTGAGCCAAGTAGGGCTGGTGGTTTTTTTTATGGCACGGTACTCCAACCAAAGCTATTTTTCTTTCCTCTTTCGCCTGTGAGCCCGAATCCGTTGTCCCTGGCCTCAGCTGTGACCCACTCAGACCTTCTGATGAAATTACCTCAAAATTAAGTTAAATTGAACAAAGAGAATTGGTCCTGGGACAGAGATGGATGAGTGTGGGACGGGGCAGCGACAGGAGCCACGTAACCGTGGCGATATCAGTGAGGAGAGAAATTTACAGACAAGGATAGTGGAGAACTGTCAGACGTAGACTCACCCATCCTCTGTGTTGGAAAAATTCTGGGTCAAATCTTAAATAAATGTTCTATATTTATTTACTGGGTGGTTGTAACATTCTGCTGGATTTAGATATAAATCTAAAGCATACCATCCCTATTTGGCTCTACTCTACCTAATCATTGTAACCTGAGCCCTTGCCTGTTCTAACTGTAAGTCCTTGTGAATAAACAAACGCAAGTCTTCATATTTGGTTTTGTTTTTGTTTCAGGGATCACAGACTTGGAGGAGGTGTCCCAGTTCTTAAAAGAGGGGATCATCATGAAGGACTTCAGCCACGAAAACGTCCTGTCGCTGCTGGGCATCTGTTTGCCACCAGAGGGTTCTCCTCTGGTCATCCTGCCCTACATGAAGCATGGAGACCTGAGGAACTTCATACGGGACGAGGGCCATGTGAGGCTGCACTTTTTATCCCTGCTTTAGTCCTGCTTTGCTCTGGGTTTAAACCTACTTTAGATGCACTTTAGTCCTGCTTTAGACCTTCTTAAGATCTGCTTTAGGCCTGCTTTACACCTACTTTAGTCCTCCTTTAGACCTGCTCTTCTCTCTGCCTAAGTCCTACTTCAGACCTGCTTTAGACCTACTTTGGTCTCTTCTTAAGTCCTGCTTCAGACTTGCTTGCTTTCTGCTTCAGTACTGTTTCAGTCTCTGCTTTAGACCTGATTTAGACCTGTTTGGACCTTCTTTAGACCTGCTTTAATCTCTGCCTCAGTCCCGTTAAGATCTACTTTGGACCTGCTTTAGTCTCTTCTTTCATTTGCTTTCTAAGTCTCTGTGATTGCCCTTTTGAACGTAGAACCCCACAGTGAAGGACCTGGTGGGCTTCGGGCTACAGGTGGCTCGGGGGATGGAGTACCTGGCCTCCAAGAAGTTCGTCCACAGAGACCTGGCGGCACGGAACTGCATGTAAGCCCCCGCCACAGAACTGTCAGAGAAGAAGCCTGTCTCACATCTTCAGAAATACTTTATTTCAGTTCAGATTGTTTATTTGAGCTCAGAGCAAAACTCTGTTTAAGTGCTCAAAGTGAGGAGGCAGAAGTAAGAAATACTTATGAATGCCTACCCCTTTGATGCATAATTAAATCTAAAGTATTGTAAAGTAGTACCTAAGTCAAGAGTAATACATACATTGTTAATCCACTTTATTATATCATAAGTTTTCTCTGAGTCCATATTTGTTCAAGACACTTATCATATACTATCTATATACTATCTATACTATATACTTTTATACTATATACTTTTAAAGTTGGGAAACATATGAATAATTTTCAAGTTCAAGTTAATTTCATTCCACGGATCAACACCAGACGTGTGATAAACATACTCTTTAGGGTTGTACGAACATGTGGTTAGCTGAACTTCATTTGGCCTCTCAGGTTTTATTTAAAGACTGTCTGCTGATTTTGATTCTTCCTCCTTCCCCCGGTGCTGGTGCGGCAGGTTGGACGAGAGCTACATTGTGAAGGTGGCAGACTTCGGTTTGGCGCGAGACGTTTACGATAAGGAGTATTACAGCGTCCACAACAAGAGCGGAGTCAAGCTGCCGGTGAAATGGATGGCCCTTGAGAGTCTGCAGACCCACAAGTTTACCCACAAGTCTGACGTGGTATGTACTACTACTGTTGCTGCTGCTGCTGCTACTACTACTGCTGCTACTGCTACTTTCGTGCTACTACTACTTCAGCTGCCGGTGCTACTACTAACACAACTTCCGATGCTACTACTGCTGCTGCTGCTGCTGCTGCTAATGCTGCTACTTTCATGCTACTACTACTTCTGCTGCCGGTGCTACTACTACAACTACTGCTGCTGCTGCTACTGCTACTTTCTTACTACTACTACTTCTGCTACTGCTACTACTACTTTTTACTAAAACTACTGCTGCTACTGTTACTGCTGCTGCTTACTACTGCTGTTCTATGTCTACTCAAAACACAGCAGCTTGTCTTTTCAGAAGTAAGAAGTGCAGGAACCACATCACCCCTGTGCTTCGGTCCCTGCCCTGGACCCCAGTTTAATGATTTTTTAAAAAGACTAAATGGCATGGCACCCTCATTTGTATTTGAACTTATAAAACCAAGACCTGAAACCTACAGGGCCTTTACTTATTGATTTTCTTATTGACTTTTATTAATGGGTCCAAACATGTGGTGTGTGTCCCTCCAGTGGTCGTTTGGAGTGCTGCTGTGGGAGCTGATGACCAGAGGAGCTCCTCCCTATTCTGACGTCAATACGTTCGATATCACTGTGTTTTTACTGCAAGGAAGAAGACTACTGCAGCCAGAGTTCTGTCCAGACGCACTGTGAGTATAAATACTGCTACTGCTACTACTATAACTACTGCAACTGCTACGGCTTCTCCTAGAGCTACTGCTACACATACTACAACTACAACTGCTACTACTACTACTACAAATACTGCTACTTCTACTGGAACTACTACTGCTAATACTATTACTACTGCTGCTACAATCTCAGAGGACTTAACAAAACCATTGAAATCACCAACACAGATCAGAGAATCAACAGTTAAGAAAAAAAATATACACATATGAATTGGTCCATAGGGAGAGACCAATGTCCATGAATGTTGATAAATGTCCATAAATCCGCTCCTACACGGACGGACGGGCTAATGATCCAGGACCTAAGCCACAGAACTTGGACCAATGCCACGCAGCGGCCGCAGAGCGTGGACCGGTCCGGTGCAGGACTGAATCGCTCCCAGGCGGGTCGGGCAGGGCAGTCCACAGGTATAGATGGAGGAGGCCAGGTTCAGAGGTCCCGTTGTCGCGCCATGAAACAGACAATGGGACAACGGGTGAATAGCAATGAACACACTACAGTCAAAATCTTATTAATGCAGATAGATAGAGTAGGAAGGAGGAGTGCTCAATTTACCATACTTCTCCCAGCAAACTGACCCCTTACTCAGCTTGACTGGCAGTGTAAGGAGATTTAGCCTTTCCTGAGTCTTACCTTCCTAACTTATGGAAGCCAGTTTACGCCATGTAGAAAAAAGAGCCTACAGAAAGTCAACATTTTGAGTTTTAAACTCAAAATTACGACTTTAAAAGTCAAAATTTTGACTTTTTGTTGGCTTTTTTTTTTTTTTCATGGCGGAAACGGGCTTCCATACTAACCATACATATGCTAGATGGTAGAGGACAATTTTAAGCCTAGCCTTGAATATAGAGACCGTGTCCGAACTAGCTACTCTCTGACAATGTTTAAAACCAGGTTAAAGACAGTTCTGTTTAACTGTGCATACAACTGAGGGATTTTATATTTTCATCTTTCTTTTTAATGTTCTGTGATAATTTATGATTTTAATGCTTTCTTGATTTGTTCAGCACTTTGAATTGCCTTGTGTATGAATTGTGCTATATAAATAAACTTGCCTTGCCTTGCCTTGCCTTACTAGCCTGTCCTCAGTGTTAAACGGGGCAGATACAGTTACAAAGCAAACTTCACAGTCAGATGAGAGTCTGAGGGTCAGTCCCCATGGAAACGGACCAAAACACGTCTAAACCCAGAGTGTGTGAGTTTGAAGTCTGTCAGGTCCCAATGTGGAGCAGAGGTCATGACTGTGTCACATATATGTTCACTGACCAGAGTTGACCAGAAAGAGATTAGAGAGAAATGGACCTAATTTTAATGCTCAGAACAGCCCGAATCCAGTCAATTTGTGTGGTCGACCCCTGGTCCATATACTGTATACATATATACATTTAGGTTTCTACGTTTTAAATGTCCCGCTCCTCTGCTGCAGGTACGCGCTGATGATCGATTGCTGGCACCCCAAACCCGAGCGGAGGCCGTGCTTCTCTGCGCTCGTTTCTCGGATCTCCTCCATCTTCTCGTCCTTCAGCGGCGAGCACTACGTCCTGCTCAACACCACCTACGTCAACATCGACAAGCTCACCCCCTACCCCTCCCTGCTGCCCCCCTCTGGCCCGGAGGAGACCTGCAGCTCGTCCAGCGGAGACAGCGCACTGCTCAGCCTCAACTCGCAGGGGGCGCTGTTCTGCAACCCCGAGAGGCACTGCTACACCTGAGACTCTGTGTGAGAGAGAAGCCTCCTTCACACCCACAACTGTGAATGTTTCTGAAAGGGTTCTAGAGCCCAGAACACTTTTGATGTTGCTTTAAGATAGGTCCAAAATGTGGAAATGTTGGATGCTTTGTGTGGTGTGCAGTACCGACTGAAACCTTTAGGGGGTTGAAACAAAAACCCTTTCCAGGAGTTGGAGCCGCATCTTTTGGGCGTATTACACGGGTTTCCATTTCTCAAAGCCACATTTTAATATTGTGTATCAGGCCATCATGAATGAAGGCATCTGATCCAAATCTGGATTTACTATATCACAATATAAACACCAGGATCAGAGAGCTAAACTATGGATTTGGAGTCCAGAATGGTGAGTGTGACATAAAGGGTTACTGAGCGAAAGGAGTTTAGTTTTCCATGTACAGTAAGTCCATTGGAGCCATAATGAGTTAGAGATGAGATAAGCTGATGTTAGCATTAGCTAGGTCAGCATTATCCTTCTGTTCCCCGCACTAAGCAGCATCATGGACGCAAAACGGTTGCAAGATTTCTATTTAGATGAAGCTTATAATATGTTTTTTTTGTTTACGGGTCTCATTCTGAGTAACAGGAGTTTGGACAATGCTTCTTAAAAAAGGACTGAGATGTTGTGAATATGTGGATGAATGTAAAGAACAGCCTTCACTGCCATTATAGAGACATTTGAAAACTCACTGAGCATATTAAACATGTTACATATGAGTTTGAAGGAGAAAGGACAGGTTTTGAAATGTACAGATCACCAAAGAACCACATGGGAGTATGAGTTGTGTTTGTATAATGCCAAAAAGTGACAAAGAAATAATTCATTTGGCTTGTAATTCTGTTCAAATGTGTGGATGTCAACTTCTCATCGGCGTCAATGGAAACGCTTCTGGTTTTTTGTCACTCTGAAACCTGGAGCGTCATATTCTTGCCATGCTCGAAAATGTTTGTTCATGAAAAAGGGCTGCAGTTAAAGCTGGGGTACCTAGCTTTGTTTTTCTTCATTCTATTGAAAGATGTGACAGAGGTCAAACATACATGCATGTCAAACTAGTGATAGAAGAAAACTGATTTGAGAGAGACTAGGGACATAGATTTTATCACACTGTTCCTTGTTACATATCCTTGCTTTTTGCTGGGGCTTTGAATTCCATTATAGCTTGATAGGTTTCGAGCAAGTTTTGTTGCAGAAAAATACAATGTGCCAATGGATATCTCGAAATTGTTTTAAGAAAAGCCATACATTCAATTGTAAACTTTTTTTTTGTCTTTTTTTTTTCAATGAACTTTGAGTTGTCCACAGATTTAAAAAAACAAAACGCACTTATAATGTGGATTAAAATTGCACTAAAAGTCTAAGCATGCCAAATAATAATAATATGAAGAATTTTTGCCACTTCGGAAAGGGCCAAAACATTATGACCGTTTGCTATTTTGTATAAGTCCTTCTGTTTGGAAAGTTTCTATGGATACCAAAGGTTTCTAAAACTAAAACAACAAAAAATCTACAGGTCAATTTGAGTTAAATATATCTAATAAGTTTATAAGATTTATGCAGATGGATTTTTTAAATATTTTATTGTGGAAAAATACTGGCGAAAGATATACATGCTTTTTTTTCCTTTTTTTCAAGAATTCTTAACCCCTTTATTGGTCCATTTCTGGGTCCGCAGGAGGATGGCTGAGGATGGCTGGCATTGGTCTTTCAGCTGGGGCTTCAGACAGAGTGGGGTTAAGTGTCTTGCCCAGGGACACAACAACAGCAGACTAGAGTAGTGGGAGTAGATGGACGAGGTTTCATGATTTAATTAAATTCTAATATTTTGTGTACATCTCTAAATCACATAACCAGTCGTCTTGGATGACTTCACATAGCTGTTGATTCGGCAACACGAATCAGAGAATCAAACAGGTTAAACACAGGAAAAGCAATATTAACAAACACATATAGCCATTGGTCCAAAAGAGGCAGATGACCAATGCCCATTCAGGTTAGCGAATGTGCAAAAATGTTTTTAGATGTCTTGGATCATCACCACTGATTGATCCGGCGATCCTTAGACCCAAAGACCAATGCTCTACTTCCTGAAAAGTCAGGAAGGAACTAAAACATTGAGTGTGAAATGCGTTACACTGTTGTTTTTACAGATGGCATCATTCTATTTTAGGATTTGCTATTTTTTTTATCAAAAACTGTGACTTCTCTGGTCCAAAAGTGTGGTTTGTGTCAAATTCCAAACCTGTCGTCCGCACTGAACTTGTCCCAAAAGTAGATTTTTAAAAAGTCTGAAGCTGAAACTGCTGTAAATGAGGAACACTGGAGGAGCTGAGCCGTGTGTACATAGTGTTTATAACATATCTGTGACTCTGTGGTTGTCTGTGAATAAAGTCTGTGCTGTAAGAAGTGAATACTATCAAATAAATATGTTTTGTATTATAATAATAATCTGTGGATGGTTCTTTTAGTACAATGTTTGTGGTCAGTAAATGCAAAAAATAAATCAAATAATTAGATTAGTTGCATTAATGTCATAGTTAGTTTGAAAAGGAAACAAAAAAAGTGGTGTGCAGATTTTTTTATTTCGAGTTAAAGTGCAATGTAACACACGTTAATGACCTTTTGGGCCGAGTAAAATATTTCCCTGTTTTTTTTGGAGAGGCTTACATTACAGTGTAATAACATTTTTTACGCGCTACTTCCCAACACTGGACGTGAGGTCGGCACTTTCTGCAGCAGGGCATAAGAGGTCGTGGGGCCAGGCGTTCATCAGCCCAAAATAATGACAAAATAATAAATGGGTTTTTATTAAAGCTTCTATTAACGCGTTACGTTAAATATGTAAAGTAAGTAAAGATATTTTTATGAGAAACTGGTCTCTCTCTGGTCTCTCTCTGGTCTCTCTCTCTGGTTTATCTCTGGTTTCTCTTTGGTCTCCCTCTTGTCTCTCTGGTCTCTCTCCCTGTCTCTCTCTTTGGTCTATCTCTGGTTTCTCTTCGGATTTTCTCTGGTCTCTCTCTGGCCTCTCAATAGTTTATCTTGGGTGTCTCTCTGGTCTCTCTTTGCTACCAGCTCAGCCTAGATAGAACCAGGACCAGGCAGATGCTAAAAAGCACTAGAAAGTAGAGTAGAGTAGAACTGGCAGATGTCAGATCAGTTGTGATGGTGTACATTACAGTCAGATGCCCCATTATTATAAACCAGTAGCTATCAGGTCACACAGTATATGTTTTTACAGTCTCCTGACCCTGAGTAAATGTATTAGTGTCTATCTGTAAATTATTGATGGTTGCGCCGGCGTGAACTTATTATGAATGATTTTTCTTCATTGGTGAAAAATGTGTGTTTGATTTGAGGCCTTTTTAAAGTTGATTAACTGATTGTGTTCCGCTCCCACGCTCCTGACCTGAGGCGACCCGCGGCTGAACGTCGGCGTGGGTCGTCCATCTTCATTTGGGCCTCACACTCACATGCTTTTGTGTCCGGAACGCTCCCAGTGTCTCTGCTGGTACAACTGGAAAAGGACTGGGTTTAGGTTTGGTCAAAGATTTCATCCTTGTCATGTGTTTGTGATCGTTTATGTTAATTTGTTCCGAAGCTTCAAGAATACTAAATAGAACAAAAACATGTTTTCTCATTTTGTCATTGTTCTTGAAATGAGCATGCTTTGAAATTTAATGAGGATAATGGTGCACAAGTCTGGATTTTTACAGAACTGTGTGCAGTCAGAGGGAATCCAGTTTGGGGACCCATTCCCCTCTCTCTCTTTAGTCTCTCTCTGGTCTCTCTCTCTAAGATCTCCCTCTCTGTCATCTCTTTCTAGTCTCTCTATCCAGTCTCTCTCGGGTCTCTCTCCCTGGTATATCTATCTGGTGCCTCTCTGGTCTCTGGTTTCTCAGTGGTCTCGCTCTCTCACAACAACCTACCAAGATATGAGCCATAAGAATTGGCCAATTTTAATTTGTGGGGGAAACTCCGGCTTGCCTTAGCTACTGTTTTAGTTACATGCCCCTGCCCCTGTTATGGTGCGAAGCTAATGCTGTTGGAACAGCTTACAGTATGTTCGAATTGGCTTCTTCTCAAGGCTCAGACTATGGTGATGTCACACTCAGTCCATCCTGTGGGTTTGACAGGTGCAGACAGATACACAGTGTACTTGTCATGTACTATAAGGGTACAATTAACAGCCTGCTTCCTTTGATAATGTGCAGTTTTTGCTTGTTCTGCTGGTGTCAGGCGGAGCGGGAGTACTTCAAACAGGTGATGAGAGCCGGGGCCGTGTCCTACAGGAGAGTACATTCCACTGATCTGACCTCACTCACTGAAACCTGCTCGAATTTGATGTGTGCCTCTATATAAGGAGCTGTGGAGCGAATGAACACAGAAGGTGAGTAATGAAGGTTTGATCAATGTCGTCTGCAAAAGAAGAAAAAAGATGATTTAATAAAGAAAACACAAAAAAACATCTTTGGACCGAGGAGACGTTTTAAAACATTAAGATGAAAGCAGAAATAAGAATAACACGATTCTGTTTTTGTTCTGTTCTATGCGGGACTTGACTAAAACAGGACTTAAGCAAGTCCTTTCTACAGTCTGTGATCAAGACTAAACTGGGCTCAGACCAGCAGGTCTAATGGAGGACAAAAACAGTTCTATATCCAGTCTAAAGCAAGACTGAATCAGGTCTAAATCAGCTCTGAACCAGGTCCAAACCAGGTCTTTTCAGGCGTAAATTAATACACAAAGTGTTGTATTCATTTACGCCTGATTCAGATACAGCCCAATGATCAAACATGACTCAGAACTTCAGATTGTGGTAATGACCATTCTCAGTCTCAGTCTCAGTCCTGTAAAACTCTACACTCTTTTGTTCTTGCGTTGAATGTTTGACTTGTCCAGTCTCAGTCCAGTGTGACTCAGGATGTGACAGTGCAGTGATGCTGATGGACCTCGAAAATGGTCTGTTTTCTGTGGCGCCACATATAACTTTCATTATTTACTTTCACACTTCTAGAAACCTTATTAGGAAAAGAGAGACCGAAGTTGATAGAATAAATAAATGTTCACTTCTATCCCCATAGAGAAAATAGTCCTGTGCATTTGACCCATACTTCATTGCCACTAGGGTCTCTGTCAGGAGCAGTTGTCACCGTAGTACAGCACCCAGGTCCCAGCTGAGGCTTGGCTTAGTCAGGACCAGAGAAGGAGGATTATACCGTTTGTGGTATAATCAGTCAGAGGTAGGGGAAACCGTAGCACCCAGAAGGAAACTCCACTCAGAAAGACCTTGTTCCGACTAGGATTTGAATCCAGGACCTTTTTGCTGAGAAGCTAGAATTGAATCCTGCTGTATTTATTGTGGAGTGATTTCTGAGTGGTGTTAGCAGTCCTTTCTCCTCTTTCCCCTACCACTATAACATATTAATCAGTCTGCTCCCCTCACCGCTGTTACATGTTGTACACAGCTGTGACATCCTCCAGGAGAAACATCTGGACACCTGCACGTGTCTCTAAAGGTGTGATTATGTTTACAGGTCCATAATCAGTTGTTCTTCTTGTCTCTCAGATCCCTGATGATGGATGGAGGTCATTAGCAGGCTCTGTGCTCCCTGATGCCTCTCTGATGGGACGTATCTGTGACTGGAACAGAATACAGGAATGTTGTGGTCTGTGTCCCGCGGCTTTGTCCATAAACACAGATCCAGGACGCTACTGTGCACTCCCACACACAGAGGGAGGGCCAAGCTTCTGAACACAGGACTAAACCAGGACTAAAGCAGGTCTAAAGAAGGGGTAAGGCAGTTCTTAAGCAAGACTAAACCAGGTCTAAAGCAGGACTAAAGCAAGTCTAAGGCAGGACTACAGCAGGTCTGAAACATGACTATAGAAGGTGTAAAGCAGGTCCAAAGCAGAACTAAACTAGGTCCAAACCATGTTTAAACCATAGACTGTATATGTTTAAACATAATGATAGAACCTATAGTATAGAGTCTTATCATACATTTGATTCACACACGGCATAGACTTTGGGACAGTTTCCTCTCGTGCTGCTTAGTCTGTAACTATAGTCTGTAATGTCCTGTTCTCAGACCCCTAGTTGGCGGCACTTCTGTTGATCAGCAGCAAAATTACAGACTTTTGGTGTTTGGATGGAGGAGAGAGAGAGGAGGGTGAGTGAGAGGAGAGAGAGAGGAGAGGGGGAGGAAAGAGGAGGAGGGGTGTGGGTGGAGAGGGGGGGGGGGGGGGGGCAGGAGAGCAAAAGGGAGAGATGAGAAGGTAGAGGACAGTGTGAGGAGGGTATGTGGGGGGGAGGGTGTGGGAGGTTAACAATTGAAAGACCAGGTGCAGGTCTGTGGTCTGGAGGCGGCAGGTCTGAGGAGAGAACAGTTTCTTCATGTTTCACGGAAGCTAAGTTTTGTCCACGAGATGAAAGTCTACACCTGGCGCAGCTCATGCAAGGCAGCCCAGAAATTTATAGGAACTTTAGGATTCTTTGCTAGGAAGAATATTCAGCTTTACCATCAGAAAGGAGAGCAGCGAGAGACCAGAGATTGACCGGAGAGCAGAGTGACACACTAGTAAGAGACCCATGAGAGAGACCAGATTTAGACCAGAGATAGACTGGAGTGAGACTCAGAGAGAGACCAAAGAGAACAGAGATAGACTGGAGAGAGACCAGAGAGAGATAGGCTTATCATGCAACTGCAACCTCAAGTAAATAAATATGATAATAATGATAATTGTTAACGCTAATATTTCTCCATTAGCTTGAACAGCTGTTGTAATTCATCTTTTATCGGTTCATATTGTGCAGACTGTTTTCATCCTTATAAGTCTTTCTCTCTGTGACTTGTGTGTTGAAGACGGCGGCCCCCTCTGAACTCTGTGAAAACATGACAAGAGCTTTGAGCCTCCGCGGGAAAGATTCAGTTACAACAAAAAGTGAAGAAGGCAAGAAACAAACTATGCACAGGTTGTGAGCGTGCTCTAGTGGCGGAAGGGCGTCAATACAAGCAGGAACACTTGTTTTTTTTTTTTTTCATTACCAGTATCAGTTGTTGCAGGTTACTTGACAGATACGACATAAAAAGAGGTTTAAATTTAAAGTGGTTAGCCATGATTCTCACGTCAGACTATTGTATTCTTAATTATTGTGTTCCCAGCACTAACCAGGCCCTGTCCTGCATGGGGTGAGAGATCTGACAGGATCTGGCTTTGACCTGCAGGTGGCGTCACCTAGACATATTCTCTGCGAGCGTGAAACATTTCTACAATAGTGTCCGTCTGTTTACAGCAAATACAGTAACTTTAGCCTCTTTAAGAAAATAGTGTAAGCAACTTAATGTGTAAGTTGCATTTTTGGCTCAATATAATTATGAGAGCTTCAATACAATGTTGAATGAATTAATGTATGGGACCTTTATTGTCCCAAAGAAAACCATGAGAAAGAGCCCCAAGAGTCACTATTTGATGATCCTTACTTTTTCACTTTACTCTCCAAAAAAGCTGATCTAACGATGTGACAGAGGCCGAAAATACATGCGTGTGAAAACTAGTGATAGAACCATATACTGTTTTAGAGCCAGGGACAAGTTAAATTGATTTCCTGACAGAGTTCAATGTATTGTGATTTGGAAGTTACATACCCCAGATTTAAAGGTTTTACTTTTGATGTTTTGTTGGCTAGTACAGTACTGAATTCAAATAATTTCTGGGGGCCCTGTTGTGACCTCGGGACCAGTCCGCTTATTGCGTAGGACTGGCCCTGGATCATACCCCCAGGGCTGTCACGCTCTCTGCACCCGCCCCTCTGTTCCCTCCTCCCGGGCAGTCGCGTTCTGACGTCGCTGGGGCTGTGAAGCTGGTGGAGCCGGAAGAAAAGATGGCCGATCAAGAAGAGCATCTATCCGACGAGGATAAGGTAAAACGCGGACATATACCTGCTCTAAAACCCCGCTGTATACACGGGTTCACACACGCTCTACCACCGGGTTGATTTCTTTCACCGGTTCTCCGTAAAGCTAATGCCCGACTGCAGCGCTCCCAACTCGGCTATGCAACCTACCAGGCCTCCGCTCCTATCGCCACTTCGCCTTTTATTATTTTTAGCCCCAACTTCCGCTCTGGGACTCCTTGTACGGTGCTGGCTCAAAATAGACCCAAAATACGACTCTGATTACGGCCTTAAGAGCTTGTTCTCCCCCTTAGTTGTGTTAGCTCTTATGCTAACCACAGTAAACCATGTTAGTGCTATTGAAAAGTATCATAAACGCCGAAGCTAGCTCATGCTAACGCGGCTAACTTTGACGGATTCACGCCCTTTTGTACTTCGCTGTCACTTAGCTGTCAAAAATGCAAAGTTACAAGACATTATTGACTCGTACGTAAGCAATAAACATGTTTCTATTTAGTGCATTCACTGAAATGATACAAAACGTGGTGTTACGCCTTGAAAGGTCATTAATAATTGAATGCTAGCGATTTAGCTACACTTCTGAGATGCCCGTGCCTCCCATAATCACCATAATGAGCTTTCTACGCGGAAACAACTGTGAACACTTTAAGCGATGTGTATAATTATCACCATTCAGTGCACCACTTGTTAATCTCATAATCAACCTACGACAAACACTTGTATTATTGTTGAAATTTGCAGAATCATAAGAATGCTAGTGACTTAGCTTGACTTCTGGCTTGATAATGTCACATAATTTACATATCTAAACACCAATGCACTTGTTATATTGATAATGACACATTTTATCGTTAACAGTGCCCTGTATATAGAGCACATACTTTGCTCGTTTGTCATTAATGTTGATCTAAGGCATTTCCTTGTGTTAAATTCCGCAAATCCTGCAGTCATTGTTTTGATTACCCTGGTTATAATGACTGCTTCGAGGCTATTACAGCTTCACGAAGGCACAAAAGACACCAATGTAATACCCTCTCGTGGTGTTAAGGTATGCTTGGCTGCTACAGTTTGTTAAGAATGAGAATAAGCTATTGATGTATTTGGCTTTGGAACTGTTAGGTAGCATTATTCCCGGAAGCCTCAGGGCTTTTAACATAATAGCAATGTACTCTGACCCAGTGACTGAAAAGGCTTAAAGTAATGGGTTTAAAGCAAATATAGGTCAGTAATGCACTGGCAGATAATGTTCAATATAATTTCAAAATAGTTAATTGATATTATCTTCCTGAAGTACTTCTTTATGAAAATGTGATCTACATTAAAGCTGGGGTATCTAACTTTCAAAGCACAATACACTGAGATATGTAATGGAATCCACCTAAGTAGTTCCTAGCTATTATAAACTGTTTTATTCTATCACTAGTTCACATGCATGTATCTTTGGCCTCAGCTTATTTAGACAGAAAAGTGGCTGATTCAGGGTGGTCCTCTTTATCAATCCACTCTCAGCACAAAGCGTCATGCAGTGAATCTAGATCAAAAGTGAAGTTCTCCAGCTTTATATCGAACACCACTACACATTGTAGAAGTAGTAGCACATGCTCCCATGACAACATGTTGACACATCTGGATGAACGCATGTCCCCCCTCTCCCCCATACAACTTGAGGGAGAGTTTTCTTGCCATGTGCTGTTTACAGTGGCAACCAGTTTACAACTCTGAGAACTTGAGGCTTGTTGTTTGTCTTTAGGCAGCTTCAGGCATGGGATTGAACATGGACTGTGCATGAATGAACGATGCTATCCCGCTAGCTCACTGAAGCCCAATAGGGAAGTTGACTTGCATTGAAAAGTATCCTCCAAGCTCGTGTCACCCTCACTATTTTGGGTTTAAAAAAATCGGTGGCTTAGCGTTCTCTGTGATCTGGGTGTTTATATATATTATAGTCTTTGATATGAAATGAGAAATATGGAAAACTCCAGCTTGCCTTATCATTTAAGTTTGCAACACGTCCCCCAAGCTATTGTAGTCAAACACATTTATTGTTCTCTTGCGCTTAAAGAGTAAACTAGCGTCCCGGCATACCTCTAGGAGAAAGACCTTAAAGGAGCAATACCCGTTTCTGCAAGGTTTGAATGTTTAGCACCGCCCTCAACTCGTTCACAGGTCTCATTCCCCCTACGCTCTCCTGTCACAGAGCCATCTAGTTTTATTTGCAATCTGATACATAGGCATTAGCGCAACTTTTTGTAAGCTGTACAACAATCACTGATGAAAAGGTACAAAAGCAACCTTTTGTTAGCACTGCTAACGAAATATATGACCGAAAGATTACCGCTATTTTTGTGTCCGAATGTAGTCCGAGGTGGTCCCGTGATTGGAGGAGAACGAGCGTCACGCCAAGTCTCTACTCTACTTTTTACGGCCTGAATTCATACACAAGTTGAATTAATGAGCTTAAATGTTCAATTAAATTACATGAGGTAATATAATCCGTATATGTAGTAATAAAAATCTTTATGAACTCATAAAAAAATTAATCGGGTATAGCTTCTTTAAACAAGCTGTTTTGGTTTACAGCCAAAGATGCTCAAAGGACATGTATTATGTGTTTAAGACGTGCTGTGTCCATATAGAAGGATCTTATATTATGTAATATTCTCTTGTTGTTGAAAAAGAGTTGTTTGGATCCATTGTTGACTCATCGTTCTACAAGCCACTGCTGTCCAGGGCTTCAGTTTCAGTTTGGAAAAAAGCTCTTATATTTGTGTATACCCTTAAATCACAACAGTTACCTCAAAGGACTTTTCAAAGTTCCTGATTTGTCAACAGGAAATGCAATAATAACACTCATGAGCCATTGGTCCACAGGGAGCAGGAGGACCACTGTCCATAAATGCTAACAGATATCACTGTCCTTGAACCCTCCTGCATCAGCAAGTAGGGTTGGGCATCGTTTGCAATTTTCCGATTCCGATTCCGGTTCCGATTCTCACTATCGATTCCTGTTCTAAACGATTCTCGATTCCGATTCTTTGAGGTGCAGGAGAGAAGAAAAAAAAGATAATTTTTTATCAAATTTTATCTCATAAGTACTTTTCCTGCCATAAGGCAACAGAAAGTGCTTTACATAAAATCAAATTAAATTAAAAAACAAGGAACACGAACACACACACACACACACACACCCACACGCACACACGCACACGCACACGCACACACACACACACACACGCACGCACACACACAAGCGGTGTTTATGTGGCACCGCCCACCATCGTCTCGGCTGAAATGTAAACACGTCTCTGTAAACCGCTAAAACTGAGAATACTGGAGGATTATCGTTGGACGGACTGACAGATTTGACCAAAGCACAAGGACTCGTGCATCGTGTTTTCGGAGTTTTTTACGGATTATTACATGGAGGAGGAGCAGGACTTTTTGCGGTCCTCGGCTGGACAGCGTGTTTCCCTTCTTCATCATTACAAAGGGCCTGACCAGTAACTTTAAGGTAAGGAACATCAGTTTTGGATGTGTTTGTAAAGCGAGTGATGAAACTGATGTAGCGTGAGTTTGGGGAAACTGCACCGGGCTAGCACGAGTGTTCAACCGGTCAATACGCCCGTTAAACCTCGCTGTCTGGACTCTAACTTAACCAAATAATATCTGAATCAGTCATTTGACGGATAAATGTTTGCTTCCTTTACCCCTTGACTCAGTTTTATCTGCGTTTGTGGAAAATGTGAAGATACAAGCGTTGAGAGGTTTCTTTGCGATGGCAGGAGTGTGTGGCTGAAGCTAAATGTGGATGCAAACACGAGCGCGCCGTCTCATAAGAGCTTAATTCACTGAGTTTTTCACAGTCTTTATTGAAGACTGGGTGGACAGCTGCTAAGCATTTTTGAAACGTGTCCTCCCCCCACCTTCCAAACGCTTCCGACGCCGCTGTGCGGGCCGCATCCGGCATTTAGGAATCGAAAAAAGAATCAAAATACAAACGTCTTCTTAACGGTTCCGGAACCGCACTTTAGGAACCGGTTCCAAATAGGAACCGGTTCTCGGTGCCCAACCCTATCAGCAAGGAACCACTCGGATCCAAAAAGAAAACGGGAAACCTTGGAGGCCCTTATTGAGAGAGGGATCTGCTCCAACTGATGAGCTATAGATCCAGGACTGAGGCTGTGCGGTGCAGGACTGAAGAGGCTACCAGGCGAGGGGGAGAAGCCCTCTAGGAGAAAGACAGGAGAGCCCCGGCAAAGCACTAGAAAAACGAGTTGCTTTTCAAATAAACTGCGACCAGGCATAGGGCTGGGCGATAAAACAATAACGATATATATTGCAATAGACACGTGTTCGATATCATTAGAAAACAGTTATGTAGAAATGTGCCTTGAACGGTTTGACGATCTAGTTTTGGTTCAGTGATTAAATTCTAGATAAAAAAATTTGTTTAATTCCAAGGATGTCATGATGATATAGATCATACTGCTGTGTTTTGATTTTCCTTCCATCTTCTAAGCTATTGGCCACCAACATTGACCCTAATCAAAAACAGGCTTGGAACATAGAGCGTTCCAAGCCTGTTTTAAACATAAACTAGCTGTAGCCATTTTCTTTATATGGGCATTTGTTTCGATGTGTTGCTAAGATGGAGCATCACAGGCAACCTAGAGTTTCCCCCTGAAATGAAGACATCTGATTGGTCAACCATTATATGGCTCATTTCTGGATTTACAACGACATTATCAAAATGGAGAGGGCGAGAATCAATCAATCAATCAAATGTTATTTATAAAGCGCTTTTCATACAAAAAGTGTAACACAAAGTGCTTTACAGTTTAGTTAAAAACAATCCAACATGCCCAGCCCTAAACCCTCCTCCCCACAAGAAGAAAGAGTAGAAGAGATTTTGATGTTCTCGTTAGCTGAATCTTGCAAATGTCTTGTGGTTTCTGAAAGTCTCTGTCGCCGCGTGACACTTCCTCTTCACAGATGGACGCATCGAC